CCCCTAACAAGCCCCGGGGCGGTCTTCGATCTGGTGGGGGCCCTATGGGAGGGGCGAAGAAGGGCTTTGTTCACCCGGCGGCGGAGTGGTCCAGCGGCCGTGGCGGGTGAACGCGAGAGGAGAGGCGCAAGTAGGAGTCGGCTCAGCGCGAAGGCAGTGCACGAGCCGATCGTCTTGCCGAGCGAGGAGGCTGCGGCACGGCACGGAAGCAGCTGCGTGAGCGGTGTGAGAGCGGCGGTCACTGTGAGCACGGCACACACACGGCGCACGCTAAGCTGCGACGGCTTCGCACGATGAGGTATGCGGCCGACGAGGTGTGACGAGCTTGCTCGGGGCCCGCTCACCGGTGCTGGAGAGGCCGACCGACCATGTGAAGCCAGCGGCGATCTCGACCGGTGTCGTCGGGAGGCAGCAGAGGGTCCAGCCCGCTAGGAAGAGCACGTAGTACGACAGCCCGTGCGGATGCTGCTGCAGCTGCTCGAAGAGGCCCTGCACGAAGACGAGGTGTGCAGACAGTGCCATCCGAGTCTGTCCTCGCAGGAGCCGCGGCGAATCCTGTTCGAGCCCGGCAAGGAAAAAGAACTGCGCGGCCGCGCGGCGCGGCCCGGGGCGGGGAGGATGGGTTGGGAGCGAGGGGGCGGAAGTGTTCAGTGCGGTAGATTGGCGAGCTCGAGGCGCGTGAGCCGGACCTGTGAGCCGGACCACCCCCTCTTGTTATCTGCGTTGTTGAGCCAGGACTCAACATACTCGGGCTTGCAATCCCAAACTGTCACTCCCCTTTCTCCCGGCCGGGGTGGGGCGCGCGCGGGGGCGGCGGGTGTGCGCGGGTGTGAGGGATGTCTGTGAGCCCGAGAGCGATATGCCATGTCCGCCTTGCGTTTGTTTTCATAACATCGAAGGCTAAGCTCAAAAAGAACTCCAGGCCGGAAGCGTTTTCTTCTTTCTTTCTTTTTCTTTCTAGCTTTGAAATCCCTGTGTGGTGGCGGCGACGCGGCGTGCCGTCCTCCCATCCCTCTTTGGGGTTGTATTTTTTTCTCCTGGAGATGCCGTGATTGGAACAAGATCTTCCTTTCCGACACAGACAGAACACTGTCGAGGACTAAAGTCTGCCCAGGTTAGTCAGGGCACGATGCCGGGCGTGAACACAACTAACTCGAACAACTAACGGACGTATCTGCTCCTGACAGAGAGGCATGCATGCACCGCGCTGCGCAGTCTCGCTCCCAAAAGGTGAACCAGAAACAGCTGCTGGCTGTGGTGATGGCAGGCGAGGATTCCGACGTTCAGCTCAATCCGCATCCCGCTCGTGAGTGCATAAGTTGCACTGGAAGCATCGCTGCCCTGCACGGTCCTTTCACGTTCAGGACATGTCCACAGGCTAGTGCCACTCTGACGGAGGATGAGTCGCTGCGCCGGCTGGCACCACACCCAGGTGCGTGCGAGCAAGTGGCTTCCCTTCTTCCTCCCCCCACCCCTGAGAGATAACCTCTGCGCAGGGCTGCGTGAGCGAGTGGACATCAAGAAGGGACACATCATCATTACCGGCCTCGACTCCGACCTCATGCGGCAAGGCGTCCACCCGAGGCTGCAGCAGGTAATTGAGCTGCTCTGTGACAACCCGCGCGAGGTGTCTGCGGCCAGCGCCCCCTCCCACCCCGACGCACCGTCGTGTCCCGATCTCACAGACACTCTCCGGTTGAGTAGAGACTCCGCGTGTGGGGCAGCCTCTACAACGAGCTGCGCGCATTCTGGGCCAAAGAGCGGGCTATCTGCCAGCCGGAGCGGATCCGCGAGGGGTCGGACCATCGCAAGCTCCGACTCGCCATCGCCAACGCGTTCGTCGTCGTCGAGGACTGCCTCGCAGCGATCCTCGAGCTGGTGCGCCGCGACCAGTCGAGACAGAGCCTTGACAGATTCGTGACAATCACGAGATCCCATCCCATGCAACGTGCACGGTTCGGCATCGATCCACCTCACGTCCAAAACACTCCCGCCTTGCCCTGCAGGCGCAACAGGCTGCGGACGAAGTTAAGAGCAACCCCCCCTCCTCCCCGGGCCGTGCGATCGTCGTCTCCGTTGCGCCGGACGAGTTTCTGCAAAAGTACGCGTCGAGCCGCCAAAGCGACAACACAAGACGGCCGCGCACCAAAGTCGCGACGCCCAAGAGGTCGTACCGCGTGGTCTCGCCCCTCGAGCTGGCGGGCGTGAGGAGGACGGTCCCCAGCGCTTGAGATCCCTCAGCGCCGGGGGCATCTGCTGATTGATTGGTGGCGGCGCTGTGAAATTGGAGCTTGCTTGAGCGAGGCGCGGCGTGAACGGAGGCGCACACACTATAAGTCTCTCCGCCATTGCGCTGCGTCGCCTCGAGAGCGAATAGGGGAACCCCCCCCCCCCCCCCGCCTCACGACGCGAATATATTGCCTTTTTTCGTGTTTTTTGAGATCGACCGTGCAGCCGCTGCTGGCCTGAGCGATTGCCCACTTGTTGTGACAAAAGAGGATTACTTTTTACGCACCGGCTGCCTCAACTTCCCCCCTCCCCGCCTGCAACCCCGCAGGAAACAAGCCTCCCTCCCGTGGGGTGATCTCCTCTCAGAGCGTCAGAGCTCGCTATCCGCCCGGCGCGAGGCCGAGAGTCGTACGCGGCACATATTGCACGAGCGGGCGCATCGCTTGTGCATAAATTCGGGGTTGCGATTGCACTCGTCCGCCCTCGCCCACATCGGACACCGCTGGTCCTTGTCGTCGCACCCTAGGCCTGACGACTGCGCGGCCGCAGCCGTGCCCCCGCCCGTTCGGCCGGACGCCTCGGCCTGCAGCCGCCGCCGCGCTGCCTGGGCGGCAGCACCCCCCTTCTCGCTCGTAAGTTTCCCGCGGGGCAGCGCCGCGACCTGTTCACAGCATAAACAGTGAACTAGCACTCTCTGCGACTGCCCACGTGGGGCGGTGCCGCGACCGCTTCGTCTTTTGGGGCGGCCGATGCCTGAGTGGCTCCGGGCAGGTCCTGCACCGGATGTTGCACAGAAGATTTGGCGGGTGAGCACACTCCGCAGGTGCGTTTGCAACGCTTGTGCATGAAGAAGGGATTGCGCGTGCACTCGCCCGCCGCCTCCCAGACTGCGCAGTTGTCGGCCGAGGCAACGTCCACGCACGCGCCCTGAGAGGGTCAGAGGAGAGCGAGAGGGGGAGAGAGGACGACGAGAGGTGAAAAGCCGGCCTGAGTTTGTGGGCAGGATACGCACGTGTGTGTGTGTTGCCTTGGAGGATCGCGCTGCCTCCGCTGGGTCCGGGTCCTCGTATGTGTCTGGATCGTCGTCGTCGTCGTAGTCGACCTCGTCGTCGTAGTAGTCTAGCCGTCCGCCGGCGCGAGGATGGGCGAGGCCCGCGTTGCACCGGCCGCACGATACCGGGCAGTTGGACCGCATGAAAGCGACGTTCTTGTCGCACTCGCCTGCCGCTGCCCAACGTGGACACATTGCTGAGGCGTCGACGCAGCCACTGCTCAGACAGGGGTTTGGGAGGAGCAGGTCAAGGTTATTTGTTTCTATGGCGCGCGCTGTGGTATGCAGAAATGGCATGCGGTGGCCATGCGGGCTACGCAATCGTGAGTCCCAGCTCCTCGGGAGTGGCCTCACCTGCCCGGGCTGAGAGGGGAGAGCGTCGAGGGCGCAGGCGACAGCCCGTCCCCGGGCGCTGGCGACAGCTCATCCTCGGGAGGTCTCCGGCGTGGCATGACCAGCGTCGTCTCACCAAGGAGGGCGCTCTCCAAGTCGCGCACCACCTCCGGGCCGCCCTCCTGCGAGGACGCGCCGGATGCAGCAGCCGCAGCCGCCTCTCCCTCGGCCGTAGCACCCTTCCCTGCGGCCTGGCCGCCAGCCTCGCCGCCTGCCCGCTGCCGCGGCAGTCGAGACCTGGTGGCCTGGGCCGGGATGTCGCCCCTTCCCGCGCTGGCTCTGGCAGAGGCGGCGGAGGCGGCGGCGGAGGCGGCATCGTCGGAAGAGTCCGAAGATGAGCGGAGCCGGTTAGGACCCTCTGCGGAATTGAGCACGCGGCGGGATGATTCGCCTCCTGCGTTCGGGCTACTATGCGCGCTAGATGCCGGGACTTCATCTTCCGAGTCCAGAGTATTCATCAACCCAGAGTGCAGCTCTTCCCGGCCGGCCACGCGGCTGCCGACAGCGATTGCTCCCACCACGAGAACCAGGGCCGCCGCAGCGATTGCAAGCCTACCAATTGGGCGGAGATCAGGGTGGGATAATGAGCAGCGCGGTACCAGCACGCATGTGGTCCATGCAGCGGAGGGCTAGAACTGCACGGTCGGCTGCTGGCACGCACCGGCGAATGCGGCACCGCCTCGTCTCAATTGTATCCTGTGAGCAGCGCGGCAGCAGCGGTGGGCTCTTGGGGGACGAACCCGAGAGACGGGAGGAGAGAGAGCCGGACGAGAGGCTCCGGCGGCCGGCGCCGACGACGACCGCGTCCATCCCTAAGCGGCCGCCACGCGGCGGTGCACCACGACTGCCAGTAGCTGGAGAGCTGGTTGTGTTGGCCGCCTCTCCGTCCCGACGCCAAGGAATTCTCAAAGACTAGACTTGAAACTTGTGTAAAATCGCACCGGCTGCAGACTTGAGCGCTGATAGCGCGTCCTATTTGGAGAACGAGTCGGGGGAGGGGGGGGGGGGGTCCCGTGCTCAACAATACCTAGCACGTGGGAAGGATACAATATGGTATTGTTGGTTATTTTGGGCTGTCGCAAGGCTCCTCATGTCCGCGTCGGATACAGCCTTGAGGCTGGTCAACGCTGCTGTGATCGCGTCTTTGAAGTCTGGCATGAGCCCCGAGACCCCTGTGGTGTCGGTTTCGATTATTTTCTCGACCGCGCTTTACTGTATTAAGAGGTAACTCTCAGTGATCAGTGTAGCTGTAGGGTCCTCTGTGTGTATACTGTGAGTGACACTGACAGACTCGAGAGACTCTGAGTCTGCTGACACACACTCCATTAGAGCACAGCCGGAAAGATAAACAAGCTACAAGGGCCAAGCGAAAGGGAGAGGGAGGCGCTTCCCCACTCAGACGTCGTGACGTGGATAGAGTAAAACCTACACGAACACACCCGCCGCGGACGCCTAGAGCTAGACCAACTGTAGACCGCACGAGCCCCGCTCCTCCTCTCTCCACCCGGCCTCCAGCGTGGTGACTCGCGACTCGTGTACGCCGTCGACACGGACGTCAAAGACGTGCCTCGCCCATTCGTTGAACTAAAAGGCGCGGGGGGGGGGGGGGGGGGGGGCTTCTTCTTTGGCTGGCACTCAAGCACCTCTCCAAAGCTGCCAAAACTCTCCTCAATCACCGCGAGCAGCGCCTGCCGGTCCTCGGGCCGCGCGCAGCGCGCTTGCGCCGCGTCAAAGGAGGCGAAGGACGCGGCCACGTCCGCGAGGGTTGCGTGCGCCGGCACGTCGTCCGAGACGGCGCGGGAGCGTTGCCTGGGTATGTTGAGTACACAAGTTGGAGTGGTTCGGCGTCGTGCTGTGCATTCAGAGCACCGCACGAAACCGAGGGCTGCGGATACAGTGAATACAGCGGAAGGCAATGCAGTTAAGTACGTGCCCTCTCGAGTGCGAGTCGATGGCACAGATCTGTACTCAGCATTAGTAGGGAGCGTTGCCGCGTCGACGGCTCGGCGAAGGGCAGGACGGTGATGCGCTCGAGCGGCGCGCCTGACAGCGGGCGCAAACAGCGTTCGCGTGCGTGCGGTGAAGCGGGCAGCTGAGGTGCGGTGCGGCGGACCCATCTTGAGAAAGGTGAACAGTTCGATGACGCACCTGAGACGAGGCAAGGTCGCGTGAGCTTCCTCACGCGCTGGGCATCTCCACATCCTGAGGCAGGCAGGAGCCCCATGGCATTGAAGGTGCAAGGGGCCCCTTGATCATGAGTGAGCCGTGTGAGTAGCCGATCGCGCTGCAACATCTCGTGCCGCCTGCCACCGCCGCCGCCGCCGCCGCGCAGCCCGCGAGAGACTCTCCCTCTCTGCTGCTCTAGTGACTTCCCTCTAGGCGAGACGCGCTCTAAGGGAGGGGCGGCGCACCAGAGCCGGCTGCTGTACGTCGGCCCCGCGAGGACGAGCAGGCGGTCGCAGCCCGCCAGGAAGATGGGCAGGCACGCGAGCGCCTCCTGCACGTTTCGCTGGTCGATGCAGAGCTTGTCGAGCCAGACGGTGGGCAGCCGGCCGTGCTCCTCCTCGAACGCCTCGGCCCACGCGCTCAGTGCGGCCCACTTTGGCCCGGGCGGGTCGCTCCACGAGTGAGAGATGAAGGCGTCGCACTGGCCCATGAGCCGCGGCTCGCTCCTCCAATGGCTGGTCAGACGCTCCAACAATGACGACGGACGTCGCTGAGCCTCCTCCTCCTCGCCGCCCTCGCCGCCCCCGCCGCCCTCGCCGCCGATCGCGCTGCCGCGGCTGCCGCCGCGACTGCCGTTGCGGCTGCCGGCCGCCCTGCCGGAGAGGAGGCTTCCGCGCTGGCAGGAGCGCCTCGCCGAGTGTTCGCGCGCGGCGACGTCGGGGACGAAGTCCGTCCTGTCGAGCAGCTCGAAGCAGACGGTCCGGAAGTGCGCCTCTGCCCATTGCAGCAGCATGTCGACGTTGTCCGCTAATACACTATCCTCTCCGTGCACCGGCGAGAAGAGCGCCGCCAGCATGGCCGCCTCCCGCTCCTCCGCCGTCGACCCCGTGCGGTAGAGCGCGGCGAGGGCGGCGGCCCTCACGCCTGGCTCGAGCATCACGACGAAGGAGAGGAGGGAGAGGCCGCAGAGCAGCAGCGGCGGGAAGAAGTCGTCATTCGTGAAGAAGAGCGGGTCAACGTCCACCTGTGCGAGATGTGGCCGAGGTGGCAGCCGAGGTCTCACCCGAGGTTGAAGAAGAGAGCGGGGCGACGTCCGCCATTCGCAGCGGCAGATAGGCAAGGGTCGTGACGCCGGCGAGGCCACCCGCGTACCTGGCCACGTCTGCGTGCAGCAGCAGCGCGCGGCGAGGGCAGTAGCTGCCGCACCCCTGGTGCAGCAGGATGGCAACCAAGGAGGCGAAGGTGACCGCGTCGATGGCCGCGAGCGAAGCCAGCCACGGGAGGCAGTAGCCACCCGTGTGCCTCGCGTGCCAGCCGACGAAGCCGAGGGTGCAGCCCCACGCGAGCACGACGAGTGCAGTGGCGAGCACGTTTGCGAAGACCATCGCGCTGTCGGATGGGCGGACGGACAGGAAGCCTGAAACAGGCCGGTGCGGATCAAGACAGCGACGCTGTGGACTGCGGGCGGGCGGGTGGACAGGAAGCCGAGGCAGAGCGCCGGCGGCCAGATCGCCACCGGGAGGAGGGGGCTGCCCCAATACCGCATCGGCCAGATGCGGAAGACGAGGGAGAGGAAGAGCGGCGTGAAGGCCCACCAGCAAGAGGCGAGGCCGAGCACCTGGAGCAGAAGAGAGCGAGCAAGGCTGTGAACGAAAGAGACCAGGAAGCCGCGCCGAGGCGACGTGCTCCACCTGCAGCAGCATCTGCACGCGCACTCGAATCCGCCGCCGCGCCGCACCCGCACGCGAGAGCTGCCTCGCCAGGTCGACGCGGCTGCTGCTGCTGCCGGCGAGAGCGCGGCTGCCGCCACTCGGCCCGCCTGGAAGGCGGCGCGCCGCCGACGGTGAGCGAGCAGAGAAGGACCCCCACACCAGGCCCGTCAGGTCGGCGGTTCGCCACGCCGCCGTCGCTGTCGCCAGCAGCGCCGCGGCTCGCAGCCTGCTGCGCAAGCCGCGCCCGCCGACGCCGCCGCCATCGCCATCGCCGCCGCCGCCGCCGCCGCCGCCGCTGCCGCCGCCATCCTGGCCGCCCTCGCTGCCGCCACTGCCGCCGTTACCGCCGCCGCTGCCGCCGCCGCTGCCACCGCCACCGCCGCCGCCGCCGCTGCCGCCGCCATCCTGGCCGCCCTCGCTGCCGCCACTGCCGCCGTTACCGCCGCCGCTGCCGCCGCCGCTGCCACCGCTGCCGGCGACACCGCCGCCGCTGCCGCCGCCGCCGCCGCCGCCGCTGCCACCGCTGCCGGCGACACCGCCGCCGCTGCCGCCGCCGCCGCCGCCGCCGCTGCCCCTCTCGCAGCCGCTCGTGCTCTCCGCTTCGGCGCGAAGGAATCCAATACCAAACCAAGAGCGGCGGCCGCTGCCACCGCCCTCGTTGCCACCGCCCTCGCTGCCACCTCCACCGCTGCCACCTCCACCGCTGCCATCCCCACCGCTACCACCGCCACCGCCGCCACCGCTGTAGCACCCACCCCCTCCGCCTCCTCTGCCGCCGCCGCCGCCGCCTCCGCCGCCGCCTCCGCCGCGCGTCCGCACGCGCGCGCGTGTCGTCGGCTCCCTGCCTCGCTTGCCGCCGCCGCCGCCGCCGCCGCCGCTGCTGCTGCTGCTGCTGCGTCGGCTCTCTCGCATGATGAGCGCGCCCCAACCGACCAGCAGCGCGAGTGTGAGGCTGCCTACTCTCGGGAGATCTCGCGTGATCTGGCGTGATCTCGGGAGATCTCGGCCGCCCCATCCGACCAGCGGCGCGACGGCGGATTGTCTCGCCTGTGTGTCTGCGTGTCGCTCCGGTGTGTGCGTCTCGTCCTCCTTGCGTAGATGGCGTGGTTTCTCGCTGTGTTTCGCCTCACGACCTGTCCATCTACGGTGAGGCTGCCGCAGCCGAGCAGGTACATCGCGGCGCCTACACCATGAACATCAGAGTCAGGGCGGGAACGGCATCGCGCAGTGTACTCGTGGCGGCGCGTGAAGCGAGGCTGCGACTACAGTCAATCCAGCTCAACACAGCTGTCTGCACTCAGCTTCTAAGGCAGCAGTGCCGAAGACGCCGCGTTTTGCGGTCGACGAGCCGGTAGAGGCCAAATGTGTCTCCTCCTCGTCCCTGAACCCGTCTACCAACACGGCGCCGCGCTCGCACAAGCAGCGGTACCGCATGTAGCAGCCCTCGTCCCGCCAGCCACCGTCGGCGTCAACGGCCACGCAGTCCTGCATCGCAAAGAAGTCGTCCGGCTCGCCCAGCCGCCAGTGGGAGTACGAGTCGTCGCACCCGACCGTCGCCGGCTTCCACCCCGCTTCGGAGCCGTGGCGGATCGGCCACTGGTGGTGGCCGAGCCAGAGGTACGGCCCGGTGTACCCGTAGTCGCGCGGGCCGAAGTCTCCGAAGACGGTGTTTGCGACGAAGTCGGTTGCGGCTGCCGAGTCGATGCAGGCGAGCGCAACCGGCTCTCCATCTGTCTGATCCGAGAGTCTGTGGCAGGCATCGATGCACTCTAGGTGGGTGTAGCGCGCAGGCGTGACAAAGTACGAACGATCGCCTTTGTAGAGCCAGCCCTCAGGGAGTGGCGGCCGAGGCCTCGCGCTGAGCAAAGCGATGGCGATCAAGGAGAACGATGACGATAGTAAGCATACAACGAGCAATGCCGAGGGCCTCGCGCTGCGTGTCGCCGTTGTCTGCATGCTGCTAGCGCCGCCATTGAAAAAAGAGAGAACATGCGGGGGGAGGCCGAACGGAGAAGCCCCGAGGCGTGACGTCGAGTGCTCGAGTGAGGATGTACGTCGTGTGCGTGTCTGGTGTTTATTAGCTCCGAGGGGGCGCTCCGCTGCTAGGGGAAACCTGGAGCGCGGACTAACCCTCGGAGACCCGTCCGTGTTTACTTTATGGCCCTTTCCCTGCGAACGCGCACCCCCGGGGCTACTCGAGTAGGGCTCTCTTGCCCTGGTGCTTGGACCGTGTACATGGCGCCGACGACGCGCCGCCCGGCGTGAGCGGCACCGCCATGGACTCGGGCAACGTTGGCGGGCCGCCGGCTGCGTCGCCCTCGAGCTGCCTCAACTGCTGCTCCTCGACCATGTCGACGTCGCACATCAGCCGCTGGCTCATCAGTAGCGCCGCCAGGAGCTTGGCCGATCGCGCCGCCCACCCGCTTGGCTGTAAGCGCGCGGTGGACCTTGCAGGCCAGGCGCCAGGCCGAGCCACAAACGATGCCATCGCGTCAACTTTCCCTATAGCTGGGGTCGATCCCAATAGACAGTCCGACCACCCTACAGTACTAGCCCGCCTCAACCCACTTTACCCATGTACATACTATTATACTACACTGTGCAGTGTAATGTCCAGTCCACTAGCTCCGAGTAGAGGGGGCGTCCACTGCAGCACGAGCAGTTAAGGGGAAACCCGGTACGCGGGTCCAACCCTCGGAGAATGTTTACTTTACGGCCCTTTCCCTGCGAACGCGCACCCCCCAGGGCTAGGGCTCTCTTGCCCGCAACCCGATCCCAATCATCCGGCCGGCCCGCTGGGTGCGCTTCTTAGCTCCCCGGCCCTGGATGTGCGGTTAATGACTGCACTCCAAGTGCTCCAAGTGCCCGAACGAGAACACAACACACTCTCTCGCATTACTAGTACAAGGGACACTCTGTCATGTCATGTCGGGAAGGACAAGACAGATCCACCGAGCATGGACAGCCTCAGAACCCGAACCCGAGCCGGCGCTGCCGATCACTCCCCCAGGCGATCATCCGGCAGGCAGCGCTTGCCCTCCGCCACCCCGCCCCCCAACACGCCGTCCCCTTCCACACCACCACCGCCCGGAACTCCTGGGCCACCAGCCGCCTCGCTTCCGCGACACGGGATGGCAGGCACGACTCGGCAACCGCGAGCCGCTCACTCCCCCAGTCCCATTCCAGCATCTTCCCCGCCTCCTCCACCGGGCGGATCCGCTCCCGCGCCGCCTCTCGCACCACCTCGCGGTCGCGATCGCTCTTGCACATTTCGAAGGAGCACACCGGAGCCACTCTCGGAGCGCAAAGTCCTCCTGGTCGGCGTCGGGTCCCGCACCACGCGCCGGCGGGTTCACCCACGGCCGGGACGGGTCCCGCAGCCACCGGGCGCGCCTCCACCACCCGCCGGTCGTCGCCATTCTTCATCGCGAGCTCCTGCGCCCGCAAGCGCGCCTGCACGCGCTTTGTGCCGGGCTGGAAGTTCTTCTCAATCCAGCGCATACACCACCTCGCACCACACCCCGTCGACGAGGTCCACCTCCTTCGGCTCCTCGCCGGCGACCCAGAGGCCCTAAGGCCCTTGCTGACGGGAACCCAGCCGCCCCAGCTGCCGTCGGGCATGTATCCCGTCGCGTAGCCCCCGAGAGATGGCTCGGGCCGCAGCCAATATGCCCGCCCCATCGCACGCTCGCATGCAGCCGTAGTGCCCGCCCACTCGAGCGGACGCGAGTCCACGGGCTCCACGGGCTCCGCGGGCCGCACAGCCTTCTTGCGCTGCGATCGAGACAGGCCGCCCCGCCGGGCTGACAGCGCGCGGCAGGAGCTGCCTCCCCGGGCTGTCGGAGAGGTGAGCGCCGGCGGAATGCAGCGGCGCCGCCGCGGCGCCAGTAGGCGTAGACGGTGAAGAGGAAAACCAAAAGACGTCAGACGAGGCTGAGGGTAGGTCTGCAGAGCCCGAAGACTCGCATCGATCCCAGATCGAGGGTTGGCACGAGTTAATCACCCCTGAAGTGGAGCAGTGAGCGGTGGCCTGCTGAGCCGGGTGGAGGCGGTCGCCTGCCAAGTGGTCAGGAAGGGAAAGGGGCACACTCATCAACGTAGACGGCGATGCCTGGGTTGATCGGTATGCGGAAATACCTCACGGCAGGTGACCTTTGCCGCTGCCTCGTCTAGCGCCGCCGCGCCCTCCTCATCGTCGTCGTCCATCGCCGCCTGCCACATCTGCTGGCGCCACGTCAAAGTCTTGCTGCTGCTGCTGCTGCTGCTGCTGCTGCTGCTGCTGCTCCTTCTCCACCCCACCAACTCCTCCTCCGGCTCACCCGCCGCAGCGGTCGAGCCGCCCACAGCCGCGCCAAGGGTGCCCGAAGGGTGCCCCGAAGGTGCCGGAGGGGTGCCCTGTGGTAGCCCAGGTGCCTGAAGGGTACCGAGGGAGTGCCCCGACCCTGCTCCAGGCACCTTGCCAAGGCCCTCCGACGCCTCGTCCACGGGCGACTCGTAGCCGCCTGCGCCTCCGCCCCCGCCCACGTCGGCGGCCGCCTCGCCCTGCGCCGCCTCGCCGCCCAGCGTGGCGGCAGCGAGAGCTGAGGAGGTGGTGAGGGCATTCTGCGTGCATCGGCGCAGCCCGGCGGCGTAGCTTGTGGCCACCTCGAACGAGTCGTCGATGCCGAGGTGAGCGAGAGCGCGCGCTGCGACGCATTCCTCGAGGAGGAGACATCGTCGACGGACCAGTCGCCGGAGGGCGCCGTCGGGCGCGACGGCCGCGACAGGCGCGCGCCCAGGCGGACGCCCAGTGGCCAGGCGCGTCCCGGCCTCCGCCGCCACCACCGCCGCGGCGGGGGCAGTAGCCGAGCTGTGCATCTTAAGTTCGGCCAGGAGGAAAAAGAAATAGCCGGTTTTTCTTCTGGCTCTGACCTGCTCGATTGGCCAAGAATGCTGGCTCGACACGCTCGCAGCGTGCTGGCTCGCCACCGAAATGACGGTTCTGCGCCGGCGAGCATCTCGCGCCTCCGCCTCCGCGAGATTGACGGCCGCGTCCGACGATCACGCTGAAGCGTGCACCGGACGAAGCAAAGCAGCCCATCGTGCTTGGCTCGAAGCGCTACGCGGGAGCTTCCTACAAATGCGATCCGGCCGGCAACAACAAGATCGTGGCCACGTCGCACGAGATCGACCACCCCGACATCCGGCCCGCACTGCGTCATCGCCTGGCGCAACGGGCAGCCCACAGTGCACGTCTTGAAGCTCCCACCCGAGGCGCGACCACCCCAGGTGTATGTCTCTGACAGCTTCTGGGGCGACGGGAGCTGGGTGTACGTCTCTGACAGCCAGCGCCTCTCGATTGGTGCCGTCCTCTCCTTCTCTGCCGGGTGCGGCCCACCGTCCTTCCTGGTAGAGGGTGCCGTCCCGCTCCTCGAGGCGGCGGACGGCTCGCCCCCAACCTTCCGTCTCCTCGAGCTCGACAGCTCGCTCCTGCTCGCTGCCGTGCTCCCGTCTCTGTCGCTAGGCGACCTCGCCACCCTCGCTCTCACAAATGCGGAGTGTGCCGATTTGGTCGCGGAGTACCTGCCGCTTCCTCAGCGGAGTACCTGCCGCTTCCTCAAAACATGGCCGGAGCTCCTGCGGGCGATGAAGCTCGTTTCCGCGCACGTCGATGTCAGTGAGGATGCGCTGTGGTGCCTTGCCACCGGGCGTGCGCGTCCCTACTACGGGCGCATGCAGCCCCTGCGTGACGGACTACCGATCAGAGACGAGGTCGAGTGCCGTGTGGCGAACGCGGTGTGCCTTCTCATTCCGCGGGCGGAGGCCACTGGGCTGTGGCAGATCCTCACGGCACTCGCGCCGCGCATGACGCCTACGTCCCTCGTTCGCCTCCTCGAGTCAATGCGGCTTGCTCTCGGAGCAACCTGGCCCAAGGGTCCATTTTCACTGCCTACGCGCCACGACTACGACCACGATGCGCGATGGAACAGCCTGCCTCGGCTCGACGCCAGTGCCATCGGCGCAGCTCTCCCGCGCTGCCGGGCCGCGTGGACCCCAGAGCTGCTTGTGCGCTTCAGCTTGGCTGTCGGCGCCTCTGGCGCGATGGTGAGAGAGTACGTCTACCAGGCAACGGCGGACGACGAGATTGCCTCCGGCGCGCTCCTCGCACAAGTCGAAACGCTGGGGCTGGCGGCAATGGAAGACGTCGACGAGCAGGCGGCCTACTTGGTTGGTCTGAACGAGAGCGAGGATGGCATCTTCGAGGATGTCACGCAGGCGCTGATGTTTCGTGTGACGAACGGTTCGCCGCTCAGCCTGTCACTCGTTGGCGCGATCACGGTACGCGACATCACTGCGGCCTCTCACGCTCCACTCGGCTACGCTTCTGCCATCTCACTCGGTCTCACGCGTCTGCTCGTAACGTAGGAGAAGCTCGCCAGTGAGTCAGAGCGCGCGGTCTTTTACGAGCGCGAGGCTTTTCACGATGTCGACCCTGAACGGTTTGACGACTACTACGAGCAGCCCTCGATCTTTCTTCACGAGTGGTCGCGCCACTTCGTTTTCCCCCTCTCCTTCCCCCTCGAGGACGTGGAGGCGCTCGTGAGCATGATCAATGAGTGCGGTGAGAGCGTGTCGAAGCACCTTGGGCGCCTTGCCTTCGGCTGGATTCGGACTCTCCACGACGCGGCCCGAGGTGCGGATGTTACCCCGCAAGACGCGCGCGCGCTCGACGACAAGGCGCACGCGATCAGCCAGTTCCGCTGGTGAGAGAAGAGGGGGGGGGCGCAGAGCGGCGACAGCCGTGATCGGATCGAGTTGAAGTTTTCATGTGTGTGCTCTGGTGCGGTGGTGGAGTCATGTTGACGTGCATGGGCCTGCATGCATCGTGGCATGCGTGGGTGGGCCGTGGGCAGCGCGCTTTGAGGCGTAAATCTATACAGCAACGCCGGTTTGCTTCGCCTTCGTTTTTTCGAGCTGTTTTCTTAAGCCGATAGCTCCACGTGCCGGGCTGTGAAGCGTGATATATCTGATATATGAGACAGATATTTGCGAGAAAGAAGAAAGAACACAGACACGGGCGGCCCCGCGCGGGGCCGCAACAACAACACTTGCACATGTCCATGTGCATGTGGGTGGTCCTGCCGGTCCACCGTGCCGCACCGAGCAACCGCCAACCCCGACGCCCCCCCCCCCCCCGACCCCGTCCGCGTTATAAGCGGTTAACTGTGTCCCATAGTTTGAGGGTATCCTAAAAGTTCGGCCGATTTGGGCCAAAACGCTAAAAGCACGGCGCGCCGTAGATTTGGGGCAAAACGACAAAAGTGGGCCCGCCCGGGGCAAAATGGTAAAAAGTCGCGCGCCGCAGCAGGCGCGCGAAAATTTTGGACATTCTACTCTCCGGCGGCGCCCGCGGCGCAATCCAAATGTTTGGACACACACCGGCGGGCGCTTTCGAGGCGAGCGGCAGCATTTTTCTAGCCATAGTGTGCGGGAACTTCTTTGCCGTTTGCGGGACGACAGCTAGTACTTACTGCACGACCCGGGGCGCGCAGCGCCGAAGAATTTTTTTGAAAAATGCTAACAGTTGGGCGCTCCGAGACGACCAAAGTGGTAAAAGTCGCACTCTCCCCTGACCCGATCAAAAGCGTAAAAGCACCCGAGGCTCCAGAAACCTAACCCTCAGACTATGCTGTGTCCATGACGTTGTCTCACATGTCAGTCTCAAAATGCACAAATTACCACACACGGGGTCACCCGCGGCCGCGCCCCGCGGTAGCGCGCCGCGGGGCCGCGCGCCCACCCCGGCGGCACAGGCACAGCCCACATGTGCCGCGCGCGCCCAGTAATTCACAAAAAGCACTTTCTTTGCGTCACCGGACTAATACTGTAGTTACTTGTCGGGCGGAGGGCGGTCTGGGATGGGAGGTGCGAAACGGTGGGGCCCTCCGAGATCGACTCCGAGCCGTGCCTCGACGCAAAGACTGGCTGCTCCGACGTGCTCCGCTCCGGCGGGTCACTCCTTCAGGCTCGCCTTGAGCGTCTTCATGAAGTCGGCGACGGCCTCGCTTTGGGCGGCCGCCGCCCTCGGCTCCTCCTTTCCAGCGCCCGCAGCCTCCCCGCGCGCCTCCGCCTTGGTCTGCGGCTTTGCGGCCTCCGGCGCAGCCTCCGGCGCCGCCTTCGGAGCCGCCTCGCGCGAAAACGCCTCCTTGGCCACCTCGGCCGCCTTGAGCGTGAGCGAGCCACGCGAGCCGGCGGCGTCTTCCGCACTCCGCTCTGCCGCCACGGGCGGGGCCGCCACGGGCGGGGCCGCCACCGGCGTCAGGCCGGGCAAAACGCTGGCGCCGAGGACTGCCGCCGCGAGAGCCGCTGCCGCGCCTCCGATGGTGCGGAGGCCCTGCTCCCTCTTCGCCTGCGTCAGATGGCGCCGAGGGGTGGCCGAGGGGTGGCCGAGGCGCCGGCGAGGCGTGCGTGGCCGAGAGGTGGAGCAGGCGTGTCTCGGTGCGGAGCAGTAGTGCTTGGATTTCGGTCTCGCGACTTCGCGTACTGGCCGCCTGCGCCGGGTCGAGGTAGGAGCCGAGCGCCTCCGCCGACGTCTTGGAGAGACGGTCCAACCCCGGGTCCACCTGCGGGCAACGGGTGTCGTGGACGTGCCGTGGACGTGTCGCGAATCTCGGCGAATCTCGGCGAATCTCGCCTCGAGGAAGGTGACGGTCGACTCCTCACTCACGAGGGCGAATCGCTGCGACCGCGCACCCAGCCCGCTGCCCATGTCGCCGGACAGGCCCAGCGCGCCAACGAGGGCGCCGTCCGGGTCGGAGACCATGGTGATGTTTGGGCTGTCGACGCCCGCCGCCGCCGCCACCGCCTCGGCCCAGCCCGCATTCACGAAACGGTCGTTTGTGGTGACGACGGCGACGTTGGAGACTCCGAGGCGGGCGAAGCGGCCGGCGGCCTTCATCAGGCCGGGCAGGTGCTTGTCGTTGCAGGTGGGCGTGAAGGCGCCGGGCATGCCGACCAGGACGGACGTGCCGCTCCCCAGCAGCGCGCCGAGCGTCGTGGTGGGCGGGATGGTTTGCCGCCCTTTCGACCGCACCGCAATTTCGACCGTCAGATCGGGCGGCAGCTGAGAGCCAACGCGGATGGCGGCGGGCAGTGCGTCTGCTGCTGCTGCTGCGGGAGCGGGAGCGGCTGCGGGCCTCACCGCCCGGCTGGCCGGCTTGGAGGCCGCATTCTTCGGCTTGGCGGGAGGCTTGGCCGCCCGCCCCGCCTTTGCAGCCGCCTTCTTCGAGGCTGGAGGCTCTGCGGCCTCTGCCGCCTCGACCTCTGCCGCCTCGACCACTTCCTCCTCGCGCACCTCCGGTCCGGGGTCGGGCGCCTTGGGCTCCGTGTCGGGTGTGTCAAACCAGTTGGCTGCCGAGTAGGATGGGTACGACGGCGGAAGTGGCGACGGAGACGGGGCAGGTGCTTTTGCCTCCTCGGTAGGCTCGCCCGCCGGCTTCTCCACAAGTGCTTGAGCAGCCTCCGGTTTCGCGGCGACGGGCGCCTTTGCTACGACAGCCGATCGGACCGCATGGCGAGGCGCGGCGCATGGCGAGGCGCATGGCGAGGCGCATGGCGGCAGCAGCCGGAGAGCGTTTGCTGGATCACTGAAGAGCAGGAGGAGCAGAGCCGAATGCAGAGCCGACATGCTGCAGAGCCGAGATGGGCTGCAGATCGGGTCGTCACGCTTCGAAGGACGCGTGGTGCACAGGCAGCTGGGAATAGCGCCGGGGAGGAAAAGGGGTCGGACACATTGCATGCTAAAGAGCTAGAAGGGGAGATAGAGAGAAATACCACCCTGTCCCTTGTACACCAACAAAGAGTCTCGTGATTTCTTGTTGGTTTTCTAAAATATCTCGGCGGGGGTGGGCGGGTGCACGGAGCTAAGTGCCTCGCCACCCTCGCAGGAGTCGCTTAGGCGGCTCCCGTGGTGTACCTGTGTTAGTGCCAGTGCGCGCCAGTCCCGTGCCCAGTGTTGTGCGAGGGAGTTTTGTTGTAAAATTCTAAAATATCTCTCCAACAAACACCAACCACAAAGAAAGGCTCTATCTCTAAATTATTCTATCTCTCTCCTGCTCCTCACTCAGGGGGGTCACAACTACCGAGTCCCTAGAGTCTGGCTGCTAGAGGGCCCAACTTGAGAACCGTGCTTTTTGGGTGAGGTTGTTTCGTGTGAGGTTGGGTTGTTTGTGTGAGTGAGGTTGTTCCGAGTTAGGTTAGGTCGTCGGCGCAAAGGGTGAGGTCTCGACCGCCGCCGCTCACGCCAGCGGACGGCCACTGCCCGGTGTTTTGGCTTCGCCACCGTCCAAAAAGCGTGCGCCATGCGCTGCCTCGCCGACATCGAGCGTCCGAGCAAGCCTGTCCGACGAGCGGCTTGCTGTGCGGACGCCCCTGGGGAGTCGACGGGTCCCCCGGGGCGACGGGGGTGCTCTTGGGGGGGGTCCCCCCAGACAAGGGGGTCTGGGGTGCAGCCCCAGGAAGCCCGCCGCAGGCGCCGATTTTGAGTGTTAGAGTTGTTTGGTATTGCTAAAAATCTCTCCGATTTTTTGGGGCTTTTTTGACTGATTTTCATGAGGTGTTGCTACTATTTTGGGACCAGTTGAAGCCTAAAAATGGCTACAAATACAGCCACAGCAGCTGCTAGTCGTGAGCTGCTACTGTGTGGCAGACAGAGCCCAGAGAGAGGGCTTTCAGGAGCACTAGATCGATCTAGTCGGTTCACGGTTCACGGTTCACGGTTCATGATTCTGGCGTGAACTGAGAGGCCTGCTCCAGACAAGAAATTCTTTTTCTCTCAACAACACTAGGCACGAACTTGCGCGCACTAACGGTGCGAAAAAGAAATCAAATCGCGTCACCCCGCGGCCGTCACTCCCCCCCAGCCAAACCCACCCAGGATTAGCGTTCTCGGCTCACCTACGCTTCCACGTGAAAACAGCCTAAGCCCCTCCTGCTCGCCACCGTGATGCCGCGGCCTCGGTCCGGCTCGCCAGCGCCGTCGTCCGGGCCCACGGCCGGCACGCCGTCATATTTTCTCGTCGATTCCGCGCGCTCGGCGACCACCGCGGCGCCTCCGAAAGCGCCGTTTCGACACGCTGCAGCCGCGGGCCGCGGCACCTCAACTCAGCGCTTCTCGCGCCGCGTCAGAGGTGCTCCGATCGTGCACGCGGGTCGGTTCGGCACGTTGCGTGCGGGTTATTCCTGTATTCGCACTCGCTGCGCCTCGTATCTGCCTTCGACGGCCCGATTCCTCGTAGCCTGCGGTAAGCCTGCGGCCCCACCTGCGCCGCTGCGTGACTCTCTCGCGGCCCACCGCCCACCCGCACGCCGTTCGCCCCCCGCACAGTCGCTTGCTGGAGCCTCGCCGCACGGGCGGTCCTGCGTCTCGGCCACCTCGACTCACCGCGAGCCCGCTCCGCACCTCCCGCGCGCGTGTCTGCCGGCACGGCGTGGCGGGCAAGGCTGCGCTGCGACCGGTGATTTGTCGCGCGGGCAGCGCGTCCTTGGCACACGCACCCCGGCCCTCCGCAGCCCGCGCTCGCACGCCGGACGCTTGGTTCTCTCCCGTCTTCCCGGCGCCGACGACCGTCTGCTCGCGAAAGATCCAGGCACACGCGTCGATCGCCCGACTCTGCTCGCTCACGCGTCTGACGCCCGCTCTGCCGCCTGCTCACTCCGGAGAGGCGAGCGCCGCCCTCTCCGCTCTCCGCAGGGCGGTGCCGCCCCCATCAACCAAGCTCCGCCGACCTAGCAGACACGCGTGTGAGCTTGCCTGTGTGTCCACTGGTGCAGCAGTGCTGACGAGCAGCCTGCAGGTCTCGGGTGAGTCTCAGTTGCAGAACATTGAATCGTGTGGCAGCCGAGTTGGCTGAGTGAAGAGTGTCTAGTCTGAGAGAGATTTATGAGAGTCGTGATTTCTTTCACTAGTCTGTGTCACTCCAATATGACCATCTCTCTCTCTCTCCGTCTACGAGTATCGAGCTTTGTTGTGTTAATGTGTTTTGGGAATGTCTCGGACAACCGGTAAAAAGAAAAGACAAAGCCGGCGCCGCGACAAGAGTCGAGACAAGCTCGCATAGAGAGCCCGCCTGCTTGTGCTTCGCCGTCGCCTCCTCCGTGATCGGCGTCAATCGTCGCCTTTGTGCCGCACTAGAGATGAGCGAGGCTGCAGAGCGATCGTCGGCGGACGACGAAAACACTGACCTCTCCGCTCCGCCGCCGGTGCTGAGGCTGGATATCGGAGGCGGCACCGTGGAGCTCCGTGTGCACAATGTGGGCGTGCAGTCGCCGCCTTTCGAGATCGTCCCTGACGGCTCTTCCTTCCGCATGAACGGCACGCAGTATGTGCGCGCACAGGAAGGCAGTGTTCAGCACTTGGCGGCTCGGGAGGTAATCTCGCTGAGCGCGGTTGCGTCTCTGGTGTTCAATGCACCAAAGGGGAGCTTCTCCACTACCACTGAGCTCCTCTTGCCAAACATCGGGCGCAAGGCCTTCAACAATGGCTGCAGTGGGCAGATGCAGTACTTTGCCTTGGTCGAGTACCCTGTGGGCCACGTGCAGCTGCAGCCGGTCGTGACTCTCGAGCAGCTCACCCTCGTCCTGCTGCACCCGCCGAGCAAGAGCAAGTTCGCAGGCAAAGCCGGGGGCGGCCTCAGCGCTTCGGGTGTGTCGCTGCTGGAGTCGCTGTTCACGAGCGGCAGCCTGAAGCTCTCTCTGGGCGGCGCAGCCGGCGGGGCGGCCGACGATGGCGGCTTGGCGGGGCTCGAGGCCGGCGAGGCATGGGACTGCATTGAGGCGTATGTCGACTCGCTGACCGGCGACACGCGCGGTACGATGCTCGCCAAGATGCGCGACTTCCTCGCGAGCGGCGCGGGCGGCTTCTCCGGCGGCTACTTGACGGCGTCGCTGCCGGAGCGCAAGCGGCGGCTCGCTGCCGTCTGGGATGCGATCCGGTCCGCTTGTGCGCCGGGGCAGACGCAGGAGCTCGAGTCGCTGTCGGACTCGCTCGGCCAGGTTAACTCGTCGTACGCCGACGCCGCCGACCCGTCCGCGCACCTCGTCAGCGACGACGTCATCGAGGGCTGCGTCGGATTGCTCGTCTACCACTCGCAGGTGGCGGCGGCCGTCCTGCGGCACCCCACCATGGCGTCGAAGCTCCGCGAGTCGCGCGCCGAGGCCCTCGCCCCGCTGCTGGCAGCGGCGCGCCGACAGGTGCGGCGTGCCCTCGCACCTCCCTCCCGCGCCCCGCCACTCTCTCTCGGGTCGGCCTCTCCTCTCGCTACGGTCACTCTGCAGCGACTACTCTCGACTCTCCCCTGGCCCTCGGCGTCCCCGCCCTCCCGGCGCCTCGACGCTCCGCGCTCACCTCCGCCCACCCCACCCCCTCACGCGCAGCCCACCCTGATCCTCAAGCTCCTCTTCAACCTCTCTGACCGGTCCATTCAGTCCCTCATCCCCGTCATCCTCGCGCCGATTGTGGACGCGCTCGACCTGCGCGGTGAGCGGCTCCTCTCCACGCCGGAGGAGGTCCGCGAGGCGATGAGAGAGGCGAAGAAGGAGCTGGGAGTGCACGAGCCCGTCTACGGCGAGGGCGGCGCGGTGTGCGTGTGCGTCGACGGCCGCAAGGCGTTCGAGCGCCTGATGGGCACCGACGACGAGCCGTCCCAGTACCGCAGGCTCTGCACGCCGTCCCTAGCCAAGTCGGCAGCTGCGCCTCCGCCGGCCGCTCTGCCTCTTGCGGACGCGCCGCTGCCCGCCGCGGCAGCACCACAGGTGTGGCGCTGTACGTATGAAGGCTGCAAATACAAGTCGACGAAGCTCATCAAAACCGGGCTGATGTTTGCGCACGGCCCAACGTCCCAGCGGTGCCCTGGCTCGAACAACCCGCAGTACCGCCCCAGCGCCTTGGCGGTGGTCTCGGCGGTCGTTGTTGGCGACGCCGCCGCTGGTGGCGGCCAGGTCACGCGCGGGGAAGTGGTGGTGGCCGCCACCGGTTCGTAGCGGTGACATGCGTGTGTTTCTTGCCTGTGCCATGGTGTGCGTGCGTGCGCGCGCGTGAGTGTGTGTGTTCGTGTGCGTGTGTGCGGCGTGTGTGTGTGTGGTGTGTGTGCAGACACTGTCTCGGAGACACCGCCTACGGCGCCTTAGAGCTTACTTTAGAGTGTGCTGTTGTTGTGCTGGCTGCTTGTTCGTCAGTAGTGACTTTCCTCTGTTTGTGGCCACCTTTGTTTCGGGTGTGCGCTGGAGCTTTCGATGTAGTCGGCCGCGCACATACGACGCACGCGCGTGACATCATCCGTCGCCTGTCGCGACGAGTTGGCGACGGTCGCCGTCTCGCGATCTCTATACCTTCCTGTCTACCTCGCCCGCAGCGAGTACGACCTCGCGTGCGGGCAGGTTTGAGGACGCATGCGAGTAGAGATAGGCTCAGGCGCATGACGTACGCAGCGGGTACACCGCGCGCGTGTATGTGTATGTGTGTGTGTCCCTGTCTCTTATTTGTCTAAGGTCTGTCTCTGTTTGAGGTGGTCTCTCAGTGAGAGTCTATCTGAGGTGTCGCTCGGGTTGTTGCCTTAACTAGATAACATTCCCATATTCTTTAATAGCGGCTAGTTTGTCACAACACGTGCCGCAAGACACGGCGCTTCCAATCAAGAAAGTCATTATCTTGGACGCATCCCTCGACGCGAAGAGCCATGCAGTCACTCGAATTACTTGGACCTCTCCTGCAAGTAGAACGAAACATTCTTGGAGCTTCCCCCTACATGCAGGAACGCATCTCATCCGTGGCGACGCGCTGAGCCACCGAGCCGTACTCGGCCGCGCCGCCGCGTCGAGGCACGGGTCCCCCGCCAAGCAGCGACGCCGAAGCGTCGACCGATAGAGCGCCACGCCCAGCAGTATGGGCGTCGACCGCTCTCTCGAGCGGCCGCGTGGCAGTGCGTGGCGCGGGCGCCACGGGCGGCAAGCGTGGAGCCGCTGGAAGAGCCGGTGCGAGCCGTGGATGGCAGCCGCTCCCCACGTCGCCGAGAGAGGCTGCGGGAGAGGGCTAAGGAGGCCACCGGAGGCGCCGGGAGGCTCGGGAGGCGCTAAAAAGTGGCCCGGGCACCTCGCGCCACCCGTCTGGTGGGGCTGGGTGGGCTCAGGAATTAATCCAGGATTTTAAGGTGATCCACTACACCTGACCGAGAATTGGATGTGTCGCTATATACGGGGTGTGGACCCTGAGTTGACCAGGGGTTGTGCGCTGGGCCCTCCTGCTCGGCTCCAGCCAGTAGACAAGTCTTGTCATCAACAGAGTAGAAGGATCTGACCTCGGGGCCGATGTGACCAAGCGCTGGTAGCGTGGTTTAACCTCAAACCCATGGTCTCACAGTGTGCCGGCAGTCGCCGAGCAGTGTCGCTCACACAAGCCGCAGCACAAGTGACTGAGGGCCAGTGAGGGCGAGCCCATCGCTGTCACAGCTGTGGCAGCCGCACAATAGGCTGTGTCAACTGTGCAGAGTGTGTGAGCAGCAGAGGAGCTGCTCTCCAGGCTTCTGTCGCAAAGAGCTGCATGCCACCGAAAGCGCTGTCGAGGTTCGCCGAGCGCGGCGCAGGTTGAGGGAAGCCGCCACCGACGAGCGCGTTGGACTTTTCACTCCGGACAAAAACGGGTACACGCACACGAGCCGCGGTCGTGTACCCGTCTTAGGGGCGAGGCGCGGGACCGTCTGTGGCGAAGTGGGTCGCGTCCCTCGATTTCCTCAACTCACGGTCCGCTCCCTCTATTCGGTAGCAGAAAGAGCCGAAAAGGAGGCCGGCAGGCCGATTCTGGCGGCGAGACGCGAAAAACGGGTGCGGGGCCGTTTCCTCACAGCAAAGACACAATAGGATCATGGGAGTATTCATGTGTGGCGATGCAGAAACGCGCACACACTCTATCAACAGCGCACAAAGCAGTCACGGTACACAAGAGAGCGAGCAGCAAGTTCAGTGCGCTGTGGCAGCAGCGTCAGCGCGCTGGGGGCGCCACCGGGGGCGCAAGCGCCTGGCGCTCCCGTGCCTGGCGCGCGCGCTTGAGTCTCGCGCGGTGGTTCTTCATCCATCGGACCGCCTGCGCGGCAAGGGAGCGAGGGGATCAGCCTTCGATGCGGCCAGGGACGCGGTGGGAGCGCGTGTCGCCGCTGCGGTGGCGCGCGCTGCGACGGCGTGCACGCGGCGCACCGGCGCCGCGTCGCGTCGCGGCGCAGTGCTGGCGGCGTGCAGGCGGCGTGTCGGGGCGGGTGGCGGTGACGAGGTGCTGGGAGTGGTTGCGCGAGCGAGGCGGCGCGCGGTACGGAGGCGGTGGCAGCGCGGCGGCGTCGCGTCGGCGGTGGTAGCGCGGCGGAGCGGCCAAGGGGCGGGGCGGGGCGGGCGCGGGGGGCGGGGGGCGGGGGGCGGGGCGGGCTGGGGCGTGGCGCGCACAATGCTCGCATCGATTCCCATCATGTTGGGCGCCGTCAAGTGGCGGTAGTCGATCGTGCAGTTGCAGGCGGTGGGGCCGCACGGTCGTGCCTTGACTGGCCGCAGCGGCAAGTTCTTGTGGTCGACGCCGGTAGCCCGTCGTCGAGCGCAAATCTCCAGACGCTTTCGCGAGCTCTCGTAGAGATGTAGGCAAGCTTCAGAGTGCGCTCTTGGAAGCCGTCGAGGTCGAGGGCGAAGTTGAGATCGACGCGCGGATCGCCCCGCCTCGCTCGCGGGGCGAACTTGTGCTGGCGCGCACCGCCGCTCCGGAGCGGCGGGTCGGGCCGGCGAGTCGGCCGCAGAGGCGGCTCCCCGCCGATCGGATCGGCCGGCCGAGGGCGGACAGGAGCCTCGTTCAGGGTGGACGGGCCACGAGCCAACGGTGCGCCCCATCGCCGCGCCGCGGGGAGAGCGGCAGCGGCCGCGACCATCGCCCGACCGTCCAAACCCTGCTAATCCACGCCGGAGGTTGGCTGGGTAAACGGGAGCGATCATCAGTCCAAGGCAGCAAAACTGCGCCACCGATGCACTCGCCAGTCTCATCCCTCAAGTCGTCCCCGCTGAGCTCCTTTGCCGCCGCCGTCATCGCGGCGCTCCTCGCCCTCACGATCCTCTTGCCGGTTGTTCGCACGAGCGTGACAGCGACGGCCTCGCTCGTGGTTGAGGTCGCTCGAGAGCACCAGGCCTCTCTCTTGGCTGCAGACGTGTGGACGCTCACCTGCGTCGGACTCGCCGGCTTCGCTGCTCAGCTGGTCGACGGTTCTCTCGGCATGGGCTACGGCCTGACCTCCTCTTCCGTCCTCGTCGCCGCGGGGCTCAAGCCAGCGACCGCCTCGGCCTCGGTGCACCTGGCACAGGTTGGCACGACGCTCGCCTCCGGCCTTGCGCACCGCCGCGCCGGAAACGTGGACGAGGCGAGCCTCAAAAAAGTTGCGCCGCCGGGAGCGATGGGCGCGCTGGCTGGTGCGGCGCTTCTCTCGTACACGCCGGCGGCGACGGCGCGGCTCCTCTCGGCGACTCTTCTATTCGGGCTCGGTGCGATTGTCGCGCTGCGCTTTTACCGCATCGCGCCGCGCCGGGCGGAAGCAGCGGGCGCCCCGTCGGCCACCGTCCTCCGGCTAATCGGACTTCTCGGCGGCTTCGTTGACTCGACCGGCGGTGGAGGGTGGGGTCCCATCGCCACGTCTGGCCTCCTTGCGGGGAGCTCGCTGCCCCCCTGCCGCGTGGTCGGCACCACCAGCGCGTCCGAGTTCTTCGTCACCGTGGCGGCGGTCGCCGGCTTCTGCGCGACTCACGCCGGAGGCGGCGGCGGGCACGGCGCCCGCCTCGACCTGCTCGCCGTCCTTCTCCTCGGTGGCGTCTCGGCAGCACCGCTCGCACCCCGTCTCGTGACTTGCGCGCGACCTCGCATGCTCGGCGTGTTGATTGGAGGCTTTATCATGCTGACCAACAGCAAGACTCTCCTCCACGCGGCCGGCGCGGGCGAATCGGTCCGAAGCTGTTGCCAGGCCGCGCTGCTGGCCGCCTGGCTCGCCGCCCTGGCCTCGGTCCGCCGCCACGCCGATGACGAGGAGGCTCCGGCCGGCAAGGCAGGCCCGCAAGACTAGCGAGCAAACGTCGAACCCTCTCCTCCCCTCGCGCCTCGGTGCGGACGCGCGTGAAGGATTCGTGTCGGGGGTTACTCAGTGGACTGTGATGGAGAGGGGGGACGACACTTCTTCAGCGTTGACTGTAAAGTGAAAGAAAGAAAGCAAACAAGCAAGGGAGTCGAAGTGAGGGAGAAGTCGAGACGTTCATTATCAAATTTAGGATTTTCCGTCATTTGTCATTGCTTTCCCTTCCGTCGGCGCACGCAGGGTCTCGCTCGGGGGGGGGACTTCAAATGGCGCTGCAGAATCTGCTCGCGCTGCTGATCGTTCTAGCCTTGCCTGGCGCGGTGCGTGCGGAGTCGGATGGCACAGCCGCAGCGGCAGAGGCCACCACGGCAATCGCTGAGGCCGATTCGGCGGCAGCGCAGGAGGCCAACTCAAAGGTATGGGAGGACTTGATGGCGGCCGATTTCAAAGCAGCAGCCTCCCAAGCGTACGTTGCTGCCAACAAGAACTCGATCTCGGCCTCCTCCTCGTTCGCGTCAGCGTTTGCGTTCCTCGCCGACACGCTGTCGGAAATGACTCAGGAGTACAGCCCGGAGGTGCTTACTGGCGGCGCCAGCACTCTGCCAGGTGAGATCGGAGCCGGCGTCACCACGCCAGGTGGGATCGGAGCCGACGCCACGACGCTCCCGGGCGAGATAGGGGCCGTTGGCGTCACGACGTTGCCTGCCGGCGCCTCCCGGGCAGCAGAAGCCATTGCGCCGGACGAGGTCGCTTCTGCGACGAAAGAGTCGGCGATTGAGGCGAAGGCAGCCGCCAATTCAGACGTGAAGGCTGCGCTGGGCGAGGCGAAGGTGGGAATGGGGTATCTCGCTGACGCCACCAAAACGGCGGGCGTGGAGATTATGACTGCATACAATGAGGCGGGCGATTGGAAGAGCGGCCTGCAGGCGGCTGCCGGGCAGCTCCAGGGCCTTGCGATGGGCATTGGGTCGTACGGCTTGGACGCCATGCTCTCCGGCGAGGTCAAGTCGTCCAGTGAAGTCGCCGCAAGCGCAAAGGCGGCCTCCACGGGAACGGAGAAGGCCCAAGTGGCGATCGATCAGACCACGGTCGCGTCTATGGCCTCGCTCAAGGCGGTTGGCGCCACCAGCGTCGCGACCTTCGCCGGTGGCGCCAGTTCGATGACGAGCGCGATCAACGCGTGGAGGATGGACGCTGCTCGTCTGGCGAGCGAGGCGCTGGCGGTAGCTTCGCCCACTGCGCGACCTCCATCGACCGCGCTCGCGGTCGCGGCGTTCGGACTGCTGACTGCGCTGGCGTTGGGGGGCCTTCATGCCGCCGGCCGCATTGGGCTTGGGCAAGCGCACGCCACTGGCACGTCCTCCAACCTCGTTTGATGGGACAGAGCTTGCTTGGCTGGGAGTGATGGAGATGGCGCTCCCCATGGAGATTTCACAAAGATCAAAGTCAAAGTTGCGCATGTGTCCACACCGTTTTCGCATTCTTCACTTCGTTACTCTCGTGTTTTTACTGCGGTAGGTAGACAATCTACCTCCCATCTAACCGCGCCTACCCTTTCTTGGGTAATGGGTAGACCTTTCACACCCACCGAGGTCATTACCGCCTCTAACTAGTTCGTGCGTCCTGCTATCGCCCGCCTGCTTTCGTTGCATCCTCTCAGTGTGGTCTATGGTTTGCTAGACCCATGAGACCAGCCACGCCGCGCCCTCGGCACGGGCGCCTCCGCCGCCGCCCTCAGCCACGCCGCTACGACCGTCGGAGACGTCAACTCCGCCGTCACATTTACACACACACACGAAAAACTTCAACTACGACACCACCATCTCTCAGTTCACGCGGAGATCATGAACCGTGAACCGTGACGAACCAACTAGTCGACCAACTAGCCCCCGCCCTGACAGCGCCCCTGACCGCCCGCCCGGTCCCCCGCGGCCCCCCGGCCCGACACCGCGCCCGAGACCCCGAGTCCGTGAAGCGTGATCCCGCGCGAACCGTGAACGAACCGCGAAGGAGTTGGTCCATGAACCGGGTCACGGGTCACCCTCCTGCGAACTGACAGGTTGGACCACGCCACAGACAGTTCCATCTCTCTCTCCCACAGACAGTAAAGGTCATAGCCGAGCCGTATAACACACGCCCCACAGTCCAACAACTACATTCGCTCTCAACGGGCGACCCTGTCTGCAGCGCGGAATTCCTCTTTTCTTCTCTCTCGTCCTCCTGACAAAAATGTACAACAACAAACGTGTGAGTGTTAGAGTTGTTTGGTATTGAAAATCTCTCTCTCGAAATGTAAAAGAAATGCCGGACGCCGCCGCCGGGCCTTTTCCCCATCCCAAACTGTCACTCCCCTTTCTTTCTCCCGGCCGGGGCGGGGCGCGCGCGGGGGCGGCGAGTGTGCGGGATGTCTGTGGGCCCGAGAGCGATGCGTCATGCGTGTGTGCTGTGCCGGGCACTTGGAGCACTTGGAGTGCAGTCGGTAACCTCACATCCAGGGCCGGGGAGCTAAGAAGCGTTTCTTCATGCTCCAAAAGTGACGCGCAGACGCCGCCTCCTTTAGCGCTCGCAATGGGGGCCCGGCATTCCGCCCCGCCCACCCATGCGTCAGACGTGGTGGCTCCCACGGACGGCTCGCCGTCTGCACCGCGGCGCTCGAGCTCGGAGACAGAGCTCTCGCCTCCTCAGCGAGCGCTTTCGGGCACCATCTACAGCGATGCCGCAGCCTCCGAGCCGCCTAGGCTCTCTCTCTCGGGTCTCTCAAGGCGGAGGAGCCTCAGCCGTGGTGTCAGCCGCTTGATCAGCAAGCGGCTCCTTCGGCGGAGGGCGCGCGAGGCGTCCGAGGCGCCCGACGAGGAGGTGTTCGAGGAGGACGAGGAGGGCGAGGAGGAGGCCGAGTCGGAGGGCGAGCTGGGCAATGACGAGGACCTGGACGAGAACTGCATCGTGTGCATGGACCAGCCGCGCGACGCCACCGTGATGCCGTGCCGCCACATGTGCGAGCCTGCCTCCACGCCCGCGAGCAGCCGCTCCTTGCAGACGCCACGCCCTGCCTGCCTCGCAGGGTTCTCTGCAGCCGCTGCGCAGGCGCGCTGCGCTACCGCACGGACGTGCAGCACCGCTGCCCTATTTGCCGCACAGAGATCGAGTCCGTCCTCGAGGAGGACGAGCAGCTTGAAAAGGCGCGCGGCGACACGGCGCCGCACAGCGAGCTCTCCCACGCCCTAACACTCGCTTCCCGGCCCACACGCAGGCAATGCTCGAGTTGCCGTGGGGCTTCCGCTGAGTATGGGTGCATGCTCACGAATGGTTATAGGGGGAGAGAGGAAGCGCGCGAGAATATCGCCCGCATCTCCCGAAAAAAAAGGGAAAGAAGGCACTGCGTTTTTTGGCAGCGGTACCAAAGCCTCGCATCAAGCAAGAAGCATCATCCATGTCAAGACAACAAGAGATTATATTATTTATAAGTGCGTGTGAGGTGTGTACGACCGGCGCGGTTCACTCGCGACTCGGAAAACCACGATTCGTGTACGACCTACTTAGCTTCCGCGCAGTACTGAGGTCAAGGGTTTCGTCCCAATTCTGCCGCCGGTGCGTCACGCTGCGCCATCAACAGGACTCGTTCTGCGAACCGAGAGAGAATCTCGGGCGCTTCACGCAGCCACTCTTGCAGCCGCGGGAGCCCCGTCTCGACCAGCCGGCCGAGCTCCTTCTGGTAGCGCCGAGGATTCCCATAGTAGTACGGAACAGCCACACTGCCGGCCGGCTCCTCTGCTTCCAGCAGACGCTGCACTCGCGTGACGTCGGTGGTTCCGTTCCGCGCGCAGACAAAGACAACCAGGGTGAGGCAGGCCACCTGCAGTCCCGGGAGAGGAGGGTGGCGAGACGGCACACGGCGAGAGGGAGGCGCGTGCGAATGCCCACCATTTTGAGGTTTGCCTGACGCGTCGGCGTGAGTGCCTTAGCCAGCGCGTTCTCCCGCGGCCGCAGCAGCAGCTCCTCGCACAGCACGCGCACAATGAGCAGCTGCAGTGGGCGGGACCAATCACACATCAGTTTTAGGGCGGCTGAGGCGGTACCCGGGTAGACTCTGGGCCCACCTGCATCGTGATGGCAAGCGGCGATGTGGCCGTGGGCGAAGAGGACCCATCGTGGTGCGGCTCGAGCGTCCCAGCAACGGACGGCATCAGGGCGTCGTTGGGCCAGTGTAGCCGCCGCGAGGTGAGATAGCGTAGGTGGCCGAGCATTGGCGCAGGAGCATCGGACAGCGCTTCGAGCACCACTTCTAGAAGCGCCTTAGTTCGCACGCGCAGTTTTGAGCACTGCTTGTCAATCTCGGCCGTTGGCTTTGTGGACGGGCGCAGCGTGAAGCGTCGGCCGCGGGCGAGCCCCGCAGCTTCGCCTGCGCATGAGGGTGAGTGATCACGTTGAGGTGAGTGATTGCGGCCGCACGGACCGACAATCTGGCACTGCGCTGTACAGCAGTGTGAGAAGATGTGCTGTCGTCGGTAGCGTGGGGAGGCTCGGCGCTGGGGCCGCTCACCGACCATGTCGAGCTGCAGCGACGCGTCACGCAACATGGAGGAGACCACGGGTCGCACCGCTCGCTTTAGCCAAGGAATCGCGCATTGGACGAAAGAGAGAAGCACCTCCGATACCTCGGCCTCAGGTGGGGGGGCGTCCTCCTCCTCCTCCTCGGGGTCGAAGGTACTCAAAGAGGCCTCGGAGCCTGCCCGCCGTGGCGGCACACGCGGCAATGGTGAGCCACCAGGCGGCTCGTCAGTGATTCCTGCTGGTGTCGCGTCTTGCTTTCGAGGCGACCCTGCCTCGTCCAAGTCGGCTTCTGAGTCGGAAGAGAGGTCGACGTCTTGAAGCGCCGCGTCAATCTCTCCCAGCAGCTTCTCCGCTGCCTCCTCGCCAGCGCCCTGGCCGCCCTCGCCGTGCAGTGGTTGCGGTTGCGAGGGTGGCGGCGGTGGTGGTACATATCGGTCTCGGCCAGCTTCGTCAATATCGTCTGACATTTTGCTGTTCTCCGCCGTCTCGAGTTCTTCCCGCCAGAGGCGCTCCTCCTCCGCTGCCTCTCGCCGCCGCCGCTCCTCTTCAGCAGCACCAGCACGCAAGTTCTCCATGAGCTCATTGTGCAGGCCAACAGACTTTTCGAGCATCGCTTTGAGCTCGGTGTCTAGTGGTGGCTGCGGCGGCGGCGCTGGCGGCGGCCGCGCGCGCGGGCCCTGCGTAACGGCGCGATCCAACTCCTGGGCCATCCTCGCATTCTGCCGGTCGAGTTCGTCAAGCCGCTTCTGCCTCGCCGCAAGCTCCTGATGCCAGACGTCGCCTGCACCATCCGTGGCACGGCGACGGCCGAGCTGCTCCTCCACAATGCGAAGCTGCAACGACAGGAGCGTGTCGAGTGCGTCTGGTTCGACGCTAAGCGCCATACACACATGCGCCCGGCAACGGGGGTGTTTCCCTCGCAGCCGAGAATCGTTTCACGTGCGTCCAAGTGCTCCAAGTGCGTTAGTTGTGAGGGGACAGGGGGAAGTCGGGTATGCGTGAGGTATGAACGTATCGGGGTATCTATTTCCATCTTCGGGGTAGGCAGGTAAATCCTGCTGTTGCGCCAGGTAGGCATACGCTGGTACTTAAAGATACTTCGTAGACGCATAGCTAGACGTATGCTGGTATGGGGAGTTTGAGACGCACATATGGCAGTATGTTGCAACTCGTCTCAAGTACACAGGTAGCGGCGGTCACACCCGCAAGTATGGGTACAGGGATACCACTCCTTACGTGGTCCCGCAACCCCCCCAAGTAACCAGGTATCTCGGGGGCGCGCTCCAGTATCTGCAGTATCTGCAGTATCTGCAGTATCTGCAGTATCTGCAGTATCTGCAGTATCTGCGGTATTCTGCAATATCTGCGGTATTCTGCAGTATCCGCGGTATCCGGGTCGTCTGTGGCAACAGGCGTGTGGGGTGTGGCAGCACCACCCTCGCAGCCCAGATCTGCCGCCGCCGCGCTGGCTCTGCCAGGATGCACTGTACCGACAACGGCGGCCAATGCCTGCAAAGTTCAAGCTTGCACTCCTGAGCGCGTGTGTCGCCGCGACCCACAAGGTGACGCAATCATGTCTGCACGCAACCGTGGCTCACGTCTCGTCGGCACCGTCCCTGAGTGCGTCCCGCCTTGGTTGGCGACACACACTCGACGAGGACAGTCCGGCCGACGGGAACGTGTCGCGCGCCGGCGACGGTTGCGGCAGGGTGGTTGTGTGTACGAAGCGCCGCTTCGACGAAGCGAGGTTGGCAGGCGCCCCTCACGAGCCCCGCAAGACATGCCACACGCCCCTCGCAAGCGAGGTTACCATAGTAGGCGCCCCTCGCGAGACTCGCAAGAGATGCCACACCCCCCTCGTAATAGTGCATATTCTGCTTTTGGCAGCTGTTCCACCGAGGCTGTGGGGTGCCGCAGCCGCTGTTGTATAGCGCAATCGGCACCCACCCGTATCTGCAGTATCTGCAGTATCTGCAGTATCTGCAGTATCTGCAGTATCTGCAGTATCTGCAGTATCTGCAGTATCTGCAGTATCTGCAGTATCTGCAGTATCCGCGTACAAGCGGCGAAGTCTGTGGTATTGAAGTATGCATGCTTCGCCATATTTCGACACTTGTGTGTGGGAGGTATGGCAGTATTGTGCCGCCCCTCTCGCAGTATTGCAGTACGAGGAGGCCGGACGCCGGTCGGTATCCGGGTACCGGGCGCACTGGGCACTGCTACAGCAGTACGGATACCTGGCCCTACCACAGTGTGAGTCCTTGTCAGGTATGGCAGTATGGCGCTGACTTCCTAATGTACCCCAGTATAACCAGCCATTCGTGCCGTAAAGGTACGGATACTTTATACCCTCTACTTACCCTTGTCCCCTGAAAAGAATTTTACAAACCTCCCTCGCACATGTGTGAAAAGAAGGGAAGAGGAACTGTGTTAGGTATATAACTGTGATCTTGATATGACATATGGGTTCGTACTATGCAAAGCATCACATCAATGTCTGTGTGACGCACGAAGACGCTCTTCTCCCGCGCTGCCGCGCAACCAACAGAGAGACTCCGTCTCCGAAGTGCGTAAAGAGCGGCTAGCCTAAGACGGCTGTCTGAAGAGATCCTCCGCGAGGAACTCACGCCCTGCCCCACTCGTCCTCGGCAGCTGCGGCGGGCTCAGCGGCCGCAGCCTCGCCCCACCCGTCGTTCTGGCCGGCTGCTGCGGGTGCTGCCTGGCTGCTCTGCGCAACGTCGCTCGGGTGCACGGCGGCCGGGGGCGGGGGGACCTGCACGCCCGCCGTGTCCGCCACCGTCTGGATGCCGCCCGTGAGCGCGCCGGTGAGCCCGCCGAGGATGGCGTTGGGCAGGGCCACCGAGAGGCGGCCAACCGCCTTGCCCAGCTCGCTCTTGGGCACGTAGGGCTTCTTCTCGGCGGCGGCGCCGGCCGAGGCGGCGGCCTGCGCTTGCTGCGGCTGCCCCCAGCCCTGCGCGCCAGCCTGGTAGCCCCCCTGCTGCTGGTACTGCGGGTAGCCCTGCTGGTAGGGCTGCCCGTAGGCCGCGCCGCCGTAGTTGTACGTGCCGCTCGGCGACCACTCCGCCTGCTTCTCCGCGGGCGGTGCTGCATCCTCCGCCGCCGCGCCGCCCTTGTGGTTCAGCGCGTCGAAGTGGTCGGCGGTCTGCGCCGAGAGGGCGCCAAAGTCGGTGGACGGGTCGGTGGTGCCGGAGGCGACGCCGGCGCCCGCGCTGGCAAACTCGATGCCGGTCTGGATGCCCTGCATCATGTAGTCCTGCCAGCTCGCGCCGTGCGGCGGCTCGGAGGCGGACGCGTCGGCAGAGGCGGGAGAGGCGGCGGCGGGCGAGGCGGAGGTGGCGGAGGAGGCGCCCGAGCCGAGCGCAGAGGCGAACTGGTTGGCGGCCGCGAGGATGCCGCCGCTGAGCGCGTCGGAGGCTCCGACGGCCGGCGTGGCGGCATCCGGGGAGGCCTCGGCCTCGGCCTCGGCCACCTCGATCGCCTCGCCCTTGCGGTTCAGCGCGTCAAACTGATCGGCGGTCTCGGCGTTGATGCCGTTGAAGCCGGTCGACGGGTCAGTAGTGCCGGCGGCAACGCCGGCGCCCGCGCCCGCGTACTGGACGCCGGTGGCGATGCCTTGGTTCATGTAGCTCTGCCACCCGGCGGTGAGCTTGCGCCGCTGCCCGCCCGCCTCCTTCGCCGGCGCCGCCGCCGCGCCGCCCTTGTGGTTCAGCGCGTCGAAGTGGTCGGCGGTCTGCGCCGAGAGGGCGCCAAAGTCGGTGGACGGGTCGGTGGTGCCGGAGGCGACGCCGGCGCCCGAGTTGGCAAACTCGATGCCGGTCTGGATGCCCTGCATCATGTAGTCCTGCCAGCTCGCGCCGTGCGGCGGCTCGGAGGCCTTCTCGTCCACGGCGGCGGCGGCCGAGGATGGCGAGGAGGCCGGGGAGCCGAGCGCCGACGTGAGCTGGTTGACTGCCGTGAGGATGCCGTCGCTGAGCTGGCCGTCGGCGATGACAGCGGGCGACCCGGCCGTCGTCTTGCCGCTGTTCAGGCTATCAAACTTGTCGGCCGTCTCTGCGTTGAGGTCTTGGAGTAAGACGTCGTCGCCGGAGGCACCGGCGTTGGCGTAGGCGGCGCCCGTCTCGATGCCTTGGTTCATGTACGCCTGCCATCCGGCGAGAGCGCGAGCGTTGGAGCGCGTGCTGGCCGCCGGGACGGGGGCGCCGTTGACGATGGAGATGAGAGAGAGCATGGCTGCGGACGGAGTGCTGGACGCGGCAGGAGACTCTCGGCTGGGATGGCAAGGAGCGCTTGAAAGGGAGGGCAAGGGAGTGGCTTCGGAGATACTCCGAGATGCAGCGTGTCAGAGTGAGCGAGCGGGCGAGATTGTCTTCTTTGATCGACCTCCTTACGACTGATAAACAAAAACCTTTCCTTGTTTTACTCATCCCGTTTCCCGGCGTCCCCGACCTCTGCCTGCTGCAAAGCGTAGCCGTCGAGCGCGACGCCCGCCCCGAGGGCAGGCAGCCATGGTGCGGCGGGGGCGCTCGCCGGCTGGTCCGCGGCCGCCTCGGCCATCGCCACCACCGCTCTGATCGCCTCGCGGCTCACCTCGCCGCCATCAGTCCCGACGGGCGCGCCGCTGCTCGCGGCGAGCGCCTCGTCCGCCAGCCCCCTCGCGGTCTGCGCGTCGCCGAGCGAGGCGGCGGCGGCGATGGCGCCAACGCGCGCCGCGAGCGACCACATTGGCGGGGCGTGCGCGGCAATCGCGGGCGGCGACGTGAGCTGAGCGAGCGCCTGCCGGTGCGCCCAGGGAGGTGGGTGAGGCGGTGCCGCCCTCGCTCTCCTCCAACCACCGGCCCCACTGCTAGAACCCCGCCTGCTGGTGGCTGCGCAGCGCGGCGGCGTGGTCGCCAATCGCGCTCTGCGACAGGCCGAGCGTGACACGCAGCGCGCCTATGGTGGCACGCAGGGCCGAGGCTCAGACTGCGCCGCCCGCGAGCGATCCCGGCCGAATCGCCACGCCACCTTGCGCCGCGTGGCTCGGCCGGTAGGCGCGGTTGAGCATGTACTCGGCGCGCTTGCTGCACGCGAGCGCCTTGCCGGCGTCGCCGAGCGCCAGCGCGTTTGAGCCCAAGTCGCCGAGCGCCCCGGCGCAGCACACAAACTGGTCGTGTGCGAGGCCGTGCCTCGCCGCCGCCTCGGCGAGCGCGAGCGCCTCGTCGAGAAACTCCTCCGCCTCGTCATAGTCGCCGGCGAGGTGGAGCAGAGCCCCGTGCAGGTTGGCCGCCAGCCGCGCCTCGCGCCTCGGCATCGCAGAGGCGGGCAGCGTCGCGCAAACGGCCCGCGCCTCACGCGACGCGGCGATGCCGGCCGCGGCCTCGCCGCGCCACAGGCACACCTCCGCCTCGCGCAGGAGGGCGGGCAGGCTGCGCAGCGCTCTCGACATTGATCACCGCGACGACCGAGGACGGCGCTTGGTGTCTTTCTTTTGAGGGTATGTACCTAGGTAGCTCTTATGTTTTTTGGGTTTTAGGCTTATGTTCGTACCCGAAGGTGAACTGCTGACAGGGTTTGCGAGGAGGAGCGTAGATCTGTGTTGGGCATAGGTGGCGTGAATGCTTTAGCATTCTCGCCCGCTCTGCTGAGGGGAGGGGCAGGACGAGCGGTCGCCTGAGGCGCCTATCTCTATCCACCCTCTCTTGTGGTTTGCCAGCGGGGCACGTGGCCAAGGACGACGTTTCAGATCGCGCGTCCGCTTGTTTGCGCACCCGCGTGCTCGTCCACGCCACTGTCCTCCCGCCCCCTGTGATCTCTGTCGCCTGTCGCTGATGTCTGCCATTGAGACGCTTGTGGAAGTGGCGCTTGCTAAGGCCACCAAGGACAGTGCCGTGCATGGCGTGGACAAGGATCAATACCTGTTGTGTTCCTCTGTCGTCAAAGCCGATGTGCGCAATTACCATACCGTCAAGGTGCTGCAGAAGGGACTCGACGAGAGCCAGGCCAAGGCGGCCGCTCTCGCCCTGCTATCGCAGCAATACCCTCAGCTGGCCGCAGGCGGAGGCACCGCCTCGGATGGCCCCGCCGATGCGGCAGAGAAGGTTGTCAAGACACTTGAGCGTTTGTCGTCATCACAGTTGGGTCACCTGGCCGCGGGCTGGGCCACGCAGCTCGGAGAGGCATTCACCAACGCGAGCATTCTTTCGACAGTGGAGGCCGGCTCGCTCGCGGGCCGCACCGGCAGCGGCAAGGTGCCGCTCGAGAGCGGTGAGGAGGCGCAGATGCCTTACACCGTCATCCAAGGACCATCCGAGGGCATGTACGTGCTCGAGGAGAGCGGAGCACAGGGCGAGCCACGACGCTCGGTCATCCTCAACACCACGCTGGTGACCCTCATGCTACAGCCGACGCAGGCACACGTCGTCTCGAACGCGACGCTTGTCAAGATCAACGGCTCGAGCAGTGCTCTGGCTGTTTTCCGCAAGTTGCCCAAGTCAGGCAGCGCCGCCGAAGACCACGTCTCGCTAGAGGAGATTCTCCAGTTAGCAGACGGTCTTCCGGCCGCGGGCGCGGTCTCGCTCTCGGGAGAGGAGCGCGTCAAGACGTTCGCCCGGGCTCTCGAGGCCAAAGTCTCCGGCGGAGAAGGCTCTAGCTGGTTGGCGGCAGTTGGGGACAAGGCGACCTACTCCGTCTTCGAGCTTCGGAGTCAGCTCGAGAGGCTTGGCCCCGACTTCACGCCGGTCGCCGCGCTGCCCGCACCCAAGTCGTGCGCGGAGTTCTTCACGCGCAACATCCGCGGGGAGAACTGGGGCGACTTCGCCAAAAGGGTCGCCCCTCTGATTGAACCCGATGAGCAGCGGTGCAATTTCATCCGCTCCAGCGAGGCGGTCCTTCGCGACGCGATCGAGCGATGGCTGGAAAGTGGGCTCGGCAGCCTCCGAGAGGCTTCCGTTGCGTCGCTCGCCCTTCGCACCGACTGGTCGGTGGACGCAGCGTGCTCGCTGATGTACCAATTTGCGATGGCCAAGGACCAGCAGCGGCTCGCCCCGCCCACTCCGCCACCGGGCGTGCCGCCCCCGATCCTTACGCAGCCGATCATCAAGATCACGACGGGCGGATCGGGTGAGGGCGGCGACGAGGCCCTCTCCGCGGCCGCTGCCGCGCAGAGCTTGACGACCGCGGAGCGCGAGTGCGTCAAGAGGCTCGCCGCACTCGCCGCCATCGAGGACAACAAAGGGGTCGATGAGATCGCCAAGTACATCGACGGCGCGTCGTCAGCAGGCGCGCCCTCCCCGCACATCATGCGCCTAGTGCACGCGACAGACGCTAGCGTAAACAGCCTTGCGTCGTCGTACGTTGCTGACGACGGTTTTGTTGTCGACCTTCGGTCAATTCGCCGGGCCATGCTTCACCGTCTGGAGTCAATGCACTTTGGCTTCGCGACTGACAAGCAATGGTCAGAGGAGCAGCGGCGCCAAGCAGGACGCATTCGCGTCGGGCGCTTCAGCGAAGTGGACATCGCCTGCCTTTTGGAGGGCCAGGAAGACGGCTTCTCCAAGAAGGCGCCGCTGGCGCACATCAAGTGCCCTGTCAAGCTGCAGATGGCGCTCGGAGTCTTCTTCAGCATCTGGGCAAAGGCACACCTCACCTTCTCCAGCCATATCCTCGCCTTTGGCGCGAATGTGGCCCGCTTTCTCCACCAGACGCGAGAGGACGGAGCGTCGTGGGAGCAGCTCTCGGACTACTGGCGGAAGCTGATGCAGAAGTGCGAGCAGCCCGCGCTCCGCTTCGAGCGCAAGGAGGCACTCGCCCCACTCCAGCCGCCGCTACTCAAGTGGGCGGACGACCGCTCCGTCACACACGTTGCGGAGCTCATGGACGCCGTCAACCGGAGCGAGCGAGAGCGGCTCGCCAAGCTGCTCGAGGAGGCGCGCGCGCCGAAGGAGAGCGCAGAGCTTGCCGAGCTCCGCAAGATGGTCAAGCAGCAGGGGAGCAAGCAGAAGCAGCACGAGGAGCGCCTCGTCGCCGTCAAGAAGCGCTTGGCCGGCGGCGACGGCGGCGGCGGTGGCGGCAAGCACAGCAAGCGCGGCGGCGGCGGTGGCGGCCGCGGCGGCGGCCGCGGCGGCGGAGGCGGCGGCCGTGGCGGCGGAGGCGGCAACTCGCAGAAGCCCGGGGAGACCCAACAGGAGCTCAACGCCCGCCTCGGCCGCAAAGACGGCAAGGACCCGTGCTGGTTCCACCACATCAAGGGCTCCTGCCGCTACGACGCCGCCGAGTGCCGCGGCCATCACGGCTGATGGCCAGCGGCAGCCTCCGACCCGCCCGGCGGCCCATCGACGCCGAGTGTGGTGCCCGAGGCAACCGTGTCAGTGTCGTGCGTGACTGATGTGAGTGATCCGGCTGTGTGTGCGCATGGGTGTGATGTGCAGCATGACAGCGGAGGGGAGGGCGGCGGGAGCGATGTGGAGGTGGGTTCTAGTGCGCCCCCGCCGCAATCGCCGCACCCCCGAGACGGACGGAAGTCCGTCGATCGAGATTTGGCAGCAGCTGCTCTGGGCAGCTGCGATACTAGCCCGAGCGCGCCGCGCGGGCTCCTCCTGCACCTGTTCGCGGGCGGGCCGCGGGATGGGAGCTTCGCGCACTTTGCCACCGCGCTCGGCTTTGATGTGATTGAGAGAGACATCATCCTCGACCCCGGCCATAACCTGGTCGACGATGGCGTCTTCGCCGAGGTGATGGAGCTCATTCAGAGCGGCGCGGTCAAGGCGGTGCTTTTGGGCACGCCGTGCGGCACCTTCTCCGTCCTGCGCATCCCGCAGCAGGATGGTCGAGAGGGCCCGCCGCAGCTGCGCGACCGGCTACACCCCATGGGCATGCCCGGCGTGCCGCGCCAAAACCTCAACGAGCTGGCGACCGCAAACGTTCTCGTGCGTAGAACCGTGATCATCGCTCAGGCCATCGCCGACGCGGGCGGCGTCTTCATCATCGAGAACCCGCCCGACAGAGGCGATGGCCCGCTCTACCAGGCCAAGTTTGCATCGCACGCGCCTCTGTGGCTGGTGCCAGAGGTCATCGAGCTCGCCGACCGCACTGGAGCGATCAAGATCACCTTCCCCCAGTGCGCCCTCGGCTCGGACTTTCAGAAGTGGACGACGCTGCTGGTCTCGCCGCAGCTAGTCCCGCAGCTCGTGGACCTCTCGAGGCTCGCGTGCCAGCACCCCGACGGCCACCGTGACGTCGCTGTCGGCGCACGTGCAGCGCGGGCTGCTGCGTACCCTCCGTTGATGAACCGCAGACTGGCCGAGGCGATCTCGGACTGCCTCACGTCGCTCGGCGGCGGTGCTCCGAAGGAGAGCAGCCATCTCGCCGGCGACGCTGCGGGCGAGGCTAGCGAGCCGGCGGGCGAGGATCTCGACGCCCCCGCCGCCGGCCGCGGCTCGCCAGGCATCGTCGCAGATGCTGTCGATTGCCGTCGTAACGATCTGCGTGGCAGCAAAAGGTCGCGCGACGGGATGCGCGACGCGCAGCTGTCTCAGCGCGCGCGACAGCGACTGAAGCGGCGGCAGGCCGCATCCAGTGGTGAGGCAGGCGACGGGCGAGGTCCTGGGTGCAGAACCCGCCCCGACCCTGCCGATCCACCGGAGCGCGACACTGCTGCTGACACCGAGCTACTGCCAGAGGCCGCGCAGGCGCCCGCCATGGCGGTCGGGTCTGCCATGCCCCATGCGGGGCCGCTCGGCGAGGTGGCGGTCGGCCGGCGGTCGGACGAGGGGTCGGTCGACATCACACGCCTCGGCGTGCTCGGCAATCCCTTTCCGATCCGCCCTCTCGTCGCGAGGGGCATGGATGACGAGGTGGCGCGCCGCGCAGTGTGCGACGCGCACAGGCTCTACCTGCGGCGCGTCATGAACAGGCAGGAGGCCGATCTCGCAGAGATAGCAGGCACAGTCGGCGCGCCAGCCGACGGCCAGCCTCTCGTCTATCAACAGCCTCCTGCACCGGAGGCAGTGCGAGGCGAAATCGACCGTCTTGCATTCGTCGTTGCCCGAGGTGGTCGCCTCCTCCTCGGCTGCGTGTGCGCACCCGAGGAGTGCCACGGCGACGCCGTGAAGGAGGCTATCCTCACGGCGGCGATGGAGAAGCGGGTCTGCGCCGAGCCGCGCGGCCCCCCCGCCTCCGGCTCGCTGCGGAGGCTGGTTCCCGAGCAGGAGGACGTTCTCCGAGGTAAGCTGCTGCCCGTCGCCAACGAGCCGCCGTCGACAGACCCCGTCGAGCCGCCCGCCGAAGATCGGACTCGGTGCCTGACACGCGATCGCGTGGGGGGGGACTGCGCCCTGGCCGTTCCGGGCTCACGCGGTGGTCACACCATCCCGGAGAGCGAGGGGTAGGGAGCAGCACCTCCCCCCTCACCACGCATGTCAGGCGCGGCCGCCGCCGAGCGCGGCGGCCGCCCAGGCCTCGTGGCCGATTTGTTTGTCTCGCAAGAGGAGCGCATTTCTCAATTCAACTACCTCCTCTTCTTCGAGACCCTCTCGCGCTATGAAGGCGGGCGAGAGGAGGGAGGGGCCCCTTGCAGAGGTGGCGTGAATGCTTTAGCATTCTCGCCCGCTCTGCTGAGGGGAGGGGCAGGACGAGCGGTCGCCTGAGGCGCCTATCTCTATCCACCCTCTCTTGTGGTTTGCCAGCGGGGCACGTGGCCAAGGACGACGTTTCAGATCGCGCGTCCGCTTGTTTGCGCACCCGCGTGCTCGTCCACGCCACTGTCCTCCCGCCCCCTGTGATCTCTGTCGCCCCACCCGCCTCTCCCGAGCGACTGAGATTCGAGATTGGTCTGTTCTGTTATCTGTTGGAGTCTTGCGAGTGTGTCCGTCGTCGTACCCTCCGCCGTCCATGCATGGTGTGTGTGGAGTGCTGTCTGTGGTGTTTTGTGGGGTGTGTGGGGGGGGAGGGGGTAGGGAGCAGCACCTCCCCCCTCACCACGCATGTCAGGCGCGGCCGCCGCCGAGCGCGGCGGCCGCCCAGGCCTCGTGGCCGATTTGTTTGTCTCGCAAGAGGAGCGCATTTCTCAATTCAACTACCTCCTCTTCTTCGAGACCCTCTCGCGCTATGAAGGCGGGCGAGAGGAGGGAGGGGCCCCTTGCAGAACTGCTGACAGGGTTTGCGAGGAGGAGCGTAGATCTGTGTTGGGCATAGTTGCTTACGCTAATGCTCTCTCGATCCCTCGGTTGCCAGCCCCAAACAGCAAGGTGTTCGAAGCTGGCCGGAATGGCCATGCTGGTGATCTCGCTGTCGCTGTTGGCGACCACTCCCTCCGTCGACTGCGGCAGCGGTATGACCGTAGAGGCGGCCGGCTGCGGGATGGACGCGCAGGTGATGGGTGTTCCCGATGGCACGTCCTGGGAGGATGGGTGCAGACGCTGCAATGAGGCCCTCGCCTTGAAAGGAGTATTCGATCCGTGCGGTGGCTCTGGCTGGTGCGCCCTGCCGACCGATCGGTTCGGCCGCACCACGTATGGCGTCTGGCTTAAGGCGCACTCCGCTCCCTCGCCGCCGCCATCGCCGCCGCCTCTGGCGCCAGAAGAGCCGCTCTCGCGCGACGCTCTCTACCTCGCCGCCGCCGCACTCGCCGCCGCCGCCGCCACCGCCGCTGCCCTCACCGCCTCAAGCGCACGCAAGAGCGCGGTGGGCTCCACAGCCAGCGCTCGCGACTTCTCAGACAGCACTCAGCTCAGCAAGCAACGTCTGGAATCGGTCCGCTACGCGCAGGCGAGTGTGGACTATGAAAAGCGCAAAGCCTATACGAAACTTCCCAAGTGCAAGGTGACGCCACCACCACAGTCCGATCTTGCTGTGGCCAAGGCTTGCGCGGCGAGGAAGCAGCAGAAGCGGGATTGCGAGAAGGTGGAAAATATGAGCAACACGGACACCAACGCCTCTTCCGATGCCGCGAGCGAGATGCCCGGACCCTCGTCCGCGTGACGGGAATGGAGGGAAAGAAGGTGCATGCCATGTCCATGAGAGTGCCGACTCTACATACTGTCGCATGCCATGCTAACGTTCGGGCGTCGCAGAGCGGTCCGGCGCCACAGGCCACACGCGTGCTGCGCGTGACGCATGTGCATGTAGAGCGTAGACGAGAGAGAGAGAGCCGTGTTGCGGTTGTGCTCACCATGTGTTCGTGTGCAGGTGTTGTGCTCAGTCTAGGCTCAAATAGAGATACATACTCAGAGAGAGTTCAGTCCGGTGTCCGTTACATGTTTTATAATTAATGCGGTTCAAGCACATAATTAACGAATCTCCGCAATAAATCACACGCGCAGAACGCGTGCCCGTGCGGCGTGGCGGCGCGAGAGAGGACGGTGCCACAGAGGAGTCGCTCGAGAGAGGCTCATGAGAGAGGGCAGACGGCACCAGAGGGGCCGCAGCCCCATGAGATGCGCTGCACGGGGCGGGAGCGCGCGTGTGATACGCACACACACGCGACTGAACTGTAATCTGTATCGACCGCGAGCAGCAGGGAGCGGTTCCCTCGCTGCTGGCCGCAAGTTGTAGTGGGGGCTTCGTTGATGGCTGCGGGCGAACCACGAGAAGGGAAGGGGGGAGCCCCAGGGGAGGGCGGGCTGGGCTACGCGTCAGGATCAAAAGTCGGCGTCGAGCGTGAACTCGCGGCCGCCACCCTGCTGGCCGCCGCCCATGACGCCCGCCTTTTGGTACTCGCCGACGCGCCGCTCGAAGAAGTTTGTCTTGCCCTGCATCGAGATGAGCTCCATCCAGTCGAACGGGTTGGCCACGCCCCAGTGCGCGCCGACGCCGAGCTCGCCGAGGAGGCGGTCGGCGACAAACTCGATGTACTGCGTCATCAGCCGCGCGTTCATGCCGATGAGCGAGACGGGGAGCGCGTCGGTGACGAAGACGCGCTCGATCTCGACCGCCTCGCGGATGATGTCGAGCACCCGCTCGCGCGGCGGCGGACGCTCCAGCTTGGAGAAGAGCAGGCAGGCGAAGTCGCAGTGCAGCCCCTGCAGCGGTGGGGGCGGCGGGGGGCGTGGTTGGAGACCTCTGGGAGCGGGCCTGGAGCGGGCCGTGAGGGGTGCATACACGTGTGGTGGTGGTGGGGGGCGTGGGCTTGAGGGTGGTGGGGGGGGGGGGGGGGGGGGGAACTGCTGCTTGGGGCTGCCGGGGTGGAAGGTTTGGCTGCTTGCAGCCAGGTGGTGCCAGGAGGTGTGGGGCGGCGCGAGGCGGCGGCGAGGGGCGCCGGACGCGGCGGCGGCGCGGGGAGAGAGGCTGGGCGAGGGGGCAGCGCACCTTGATGTCGCGGCAGAAGCGCTCCGCGAGGTTCTCGACCACAATGCCGTCGGACGAGGCGAAGAAGGCGAGGACATGCGTGATGAAGTGCCGCTCGTCCGCAGTCAGCCGCTCCCAGTCCTTGCGGTCCGGGCCGAGGTCGATCTCCTCCGCCGTCCAGAACGACGCCTCGTGCTGCTTGTACATCTGCCAGATGTCGGCGTGCTGGATCGGAAACAGCACAAAGCGCGAGTCCGTCTCACGGCACATTGGCTCGACAAAGTCGTCGCCCACCGGAACCCCCTGCGGCGGCGGCGATGCGTCGCACGCCGCCGCCCCAGCGTCGCCTGCCGCGCCAGCCTGAGACGCCGCCTCATCGCAAGCCGACGCCGCCGCCACACTGCTGCCCTCTGGCGACGACCAGCCTTCGCCGCTCGACCATCTCACGTCGGCGCGCGGCGCAGCACGGCGAGGATAACGGGGCGGCTCCGGGTGCATCGGGGCCCCACCTGGCAGCGTGGAGGCACCTGCCGCCGCGACGGTCGCCGCGGTCACGAGCTTTCTGTACATAATCACGGCTATCAGGGAGGTGGCGCGAGTCGCGCTTGGAGAGGCGATCTGCCTGGAAGTTTCGCGTTTCTTTTCTTGAGAATGAAGCATTGGAGAGAGAGAGAGAGAGAGAGAGAGAGAGAGAGGCATTGGAGAGTGTGGTGGCGGTACACGATGCAATCTATGATGCTCGCGATGGACTGAGAACGATGCAATCTATGACGGGCAAAGAACGATGGACTGAGAGACAGGGACGGATTCACGTTGCAGTTCACGTGAGACTGAGACGACTCAACGTGACGCCCAGACGAACGCCTGCCTGATTTTCTTTTCCGCCTCCAGCCCACATGGATCATGGTACTCTCCTAAGCTGTGAATCAGACGCACTTACCTCGCTCGTTGCTCTTCTTTCCTCTTTCTATGTGTGTGTGTGTGTGTGTGTACTCACTCCGCTCTTTCTATCTCTCTCCTCTCTGTTTAGGTGCCTATAAGGGCTTCCAGTATCGGACCTTCAAGACATGCGCTTTTGGCCGGTGGCCTCCTCGGACATGGTACCTCCGGTGAGATAGTGGCTGCCAGTTCGAGACTGGGGCCGATCGAACTTGACTTGTTCGGAGGAGGAATCCGGCCAGCACGGGTACAAAGAGGGGTACCCGGAGAATCCCCAGCTGCGGAAACGTAGTGTCGCTCAAGAGGTGCGATGGGAGTGTAAGGTGCCTACATGGGCTTCCAGTATCGGACCTTCAAGACATGCGCTTTTGGCCGGCGGCCTCTGCTTTCTCCCTTTTCTCCCAGTAAGCTAAAATCCGAGCGAAAAAACACGCCGAAATGCTGCCGACTGCAGTCACGAGCGTGCTGGGCTTGGACGTGTACGTGCGCGGCTGCCCGGGAATGGGCACGAGGTGGTTTGAGCGCGTGCTGCCGTGCCTATTTGAATCTCCGGTGCAGGTCTTCGCGCGCGAGAAGCACAGCGGATGCACCATCCGATCTGCATCCGACCCGAACATTTCGTCCAAGCTCCTCCACCCGCGGTGTCGATCCAGTTGCATCCACGCTGTGATAGCTCGGCATCCGATGACGTTGAAGCGGCGCGATCGGCACTCGATGCTGGTGTGGGAAGCGTACTATGGGGCGTGGATGCAAATGCGGCACGCCAATGTGAGGTTCTTCCGCTTCGAGGATCTCATCAGTCGCGGCTGCACTGCGACACGCTCAGACCCCGTAATCGCACGACGATACAAAACCTTTCGTTCCGACGTGGCGCCCTCCAACGAGGGCGTGTGGAGGTTCTGGAATTACAGCAGCTATGCCGTCAGATGATGCATGCTCGTGTGTGTATGCGTTGGCGTGCGCGGGCCTTTCGGCCGAGAATAAGTTACTCATGCGCATGCGCGTGCGCATCCCGCCATGCACTGGACCCCGAAATCAGCAGGTGTGTCGAGGGGAGAGCGTGTGTGAATCTCTGTGGAACTAATTGATCCTAACGGGAGATGAGACGTGGTTTTGGGGGCGCCTCATATCGACACTGGCGTGAACAGCGGGTCTAGCCTTTTATGGGGTGAGAGCTTACGCCAGTGACCATAAAAACCGTCCCCGGAACCCCCCAGAGAGATCAGCCGTGAAGGGTGAAGCGTGATGTTCATATTGCCCGTGGTAGTCGCCCCGCCGCCGGACTGCGGACAGATGTGAGCGCGGGAGCGCGGCGCAGCTGCGAGAGTGCGCGGCCCGGCTGGTGGTACACGCCGCGCCCCGGGACGCTCGAAGCTCGTGTGCTCAACGTGTGAGTAGGCGCTCTATATCCCGTATGCGCGTGAATTTGACGGGCGAACGTGTCCAAGGTTTTTAGCATTTGGGTGAAGGTTTGGGCGATCACCTAAGATACGGAGCCGGCTGGCTGCACGAGGGGTGCACTGCAGACTGCACGCGGGCAGCAGATTGAGGCGTGAGAGATCGCGCGTACACCACACGATTGGAGGTTGGACACGTCTCCTCTGGGATGACTCGAAACGCTGTGTGTGTGTAGGTGTCGCGCCCTCGAGATGCCGGCCCTAGTCACCGACCCACAAATGGGGCAAGGAGGGAGGGCCGAGCACGCAAACAGTCGGGAACCAAAGCGACATAAGATGGAACGGCGGGGGTAAACGAAGAGACCAAGGGTGATGGTGATGGCCGTGCCTCATTGGAAACAGCCGGTGGTGATGGCCCGCCTCATCGGAAGCGACAGCCGGTGGTGATGGCCGCGCCTCATCGGAAGCGACAGCCAAACGGCTCGCGAGTGGTACTCGAAAAGCGATGGCGCAAGAGGCGACGGCAACGGCGGCGATGGCGGCGATGGCCGTGCTCAACGCACGTGTGCAGCACACAAGGCGGCTGCTGAGCGATGCTCCGTGAGCGACGGCGCGAGAGGCGAGGTGGCACGAACGGCGAGAACGGCAGCGAAGACGACCATGCGCCAGAAGAGAGATATTGAAAGAGAGCGAGAGAGAGAGAGAGACGACATGAGACACGGAGTGTCACTTGTAATTGCTAATGGGAGAGAGAGAGAGAGAGAGAGAGAGAGAGAGAGAGAGAGAGAGAGAGAGACTAACCCCTAACCGCGATGACACGCTGCGTTTGCAAGGTAAGGCTAAGGGGAATGATCAGAATGGCGAGGCTCGGAATGCGTTCTTATAGAATGTTCAGAACACCGGCCACTGGGCCCGCCGGAGGCGCTGAGACACGGAGCCTCTCTCGGCACTAGCAGCAGACACAGGCACAGGGGACAGTGCGGACGCGGCTCATCAGTCCTCCCTCAGTAGCGAACAGCTTATATTGCAATACGGGACAGCCACCCACTCAAAGCACTCACCACACGATTATGCCGCTTCCTATTCGCCATCCTCTTCAAAGCCGACAATGGCTTCGTCCTTTTTCTCTGCCGTGCGGTACGCCTTGAGTGCCAGGTAGGTTCTGCTTGCCGCAGTTGTCGTACAGCTCCTCGAGCTCGACCCAGCGCGTATCAATGAAGCCGTCGTCATTCTGGTCCTCTCCAAACTTGCCGCGGGTGAGGTAGCACAGCGACGTCTCCGCCGCGGCCAGCTCATTGCGCCGCTTCTTCCCGCCACGAGCTGCTCACGGTCGGCGAAGCGCATGCCAATCACCTCCTTGATCTCGAAGCAGTATGTCGGCACGACCGCGTCGTCTCCTCTGCCGTCGGCGAGGCGCGCCACGCGCTCCGCCGTGGGCCGCCTTCTCGCTTCTGGCATTTGCAGCGGGTACACATGGTGCGGCGCGCATACTTGAGCACACCGTGGTTGGTGCAGTTGGCGCACGTGCCTGCGGGAAGGGCGCCATAGCGACGCGCGCGCTCCGGGTGCATGTGTTTTTCGGGTATACCTGAGAATTCTCGGGTATACCCGGCCGCCCGGGGGTCGGTCCGAGGGTGTCCCAGGAATGAGCAACAACAAACACATGCACATGCACAACATGCGCATGTGCATGCACATGTGCATGCAGTCATAACAGACCCTAGTTGCCGTTCCTGCAAAGTAACTCAGATGTCCCGGGGGGTCACGCTGAATCTCGGAGTATCTCCGAAGCCACTCCCTTGCCCTTTCAAGCGCTCCTTGCCATCCCAGCCGAGAGTCTCCTGCCGCGTCCAGCACTCCGTCCGCAGCCATGCTCTCTCTCATCTCCATCGTCAACGGCGCTCCCGTCCCGGCGGCCAGCACGCGCTCCAACGCTCGCGCTCTCGCCGGATGGCAGGCGTACATGAACCAAGGCATCGAGACGGGCGCCGCCTACGCCAACGCCGGTGCCTCCGGCGACGACGTCTTACTCCAAGACCTCAACGCAGAGACGGCCGACAAGTTTGATAGCCTGAACAGCGGCAAGACGACGGCCGGGTCGCCCGCTGTCATCGCCGACGGCCAGCTCAGCGACGGCATCCTCACGGCAGTCAACCAGCTCACGTCGGCGCTCGGCTCCCCGGCCTCCTCGCCATCCTCAGCCGCCGCCGCCGTGGACGAGAAGGCCTCCGAGCCGCCGCACGGCGCGAGCTGGCAGGACTACATGATGCAGGGCATCCAGACCGGCATCGAGTTTGCCAACTCGGGCGCCGGCGTCGCCTCCGGCACCACCGACCCGTCCACCGACTTTGGCGCCCTCTCGGCGCAGACCGCCGACCACTTCGACGCGCTGAACCACAAGGGCGGCGCGGCGGCGGCGCCGGCGAAGGAGGCGGGCGGGCAGCGGCGCAAGCTCACCGCCGGGTGGCAGAGCTACATGAACCAAGGCATCGCCACCGGCGTCCAGTACGCGGGCGCGGGCGCCGGCGTTGCCGCCGGCACTACTGACCCATCGACCGGCTTCAACGGCATCAACGCCGAGACCGCCGATCAGTTTGACGCGCTGAACCGCAAGGGTGAGGCGATCGAGGTGGCCGAGGCCGAGGCCGAGGCCTCCCCGGATGCCGCCACGCCGGCCGTCGGAGCCTCCGACGCGCTCAGCGGCGGCATCCTCGCGGCCGCCAACCAGTTCGCCTCTGCGCTCGGCTCGGGCGCCTCCTCCGCCACCTCCGCCTCGCCCGCCGCCGCCTCTCCCGCCTCTGCCGGCGCGTCCGCCTCCGAGCCGCCGCACGGCGCGAGCTGGCAGGACTACATGATGCAGGGCATCCAGACCGGCATCGAGTTTGCCAGCGCGGGCGCCGGCGTCGCCTCCGGCACCACCGACCCGTCCACCGACTTTGGCGCCCTCTCGGCGCAGACCGCCGACCACTTCGACGCGCTGAACCACAAGGGCGGCGCGGCGGCGGAGGATGCAGCACCGCCCGCGGAGAAGCAGGCGGAGTGGTCGCCGAGCGGCACGTACAACTACGGCGGCGCGGCCTACGGGCAGCCCTACCAGCAGGGCTACCCGCAGTACCAGCAGCAGGGGGGCTACCAGGCTGGCGCGCAGGGCTGGGGGCAGCCGCAGCAAGCGCAGGCCGCCGCCTCGGCCGGCGCCGCCGCCGAGAAGAAGCCCTACGTGCCCAAGAGCGAGCTGGGCAAGGCGGTTGGCCGCCTCTCGGTGGCCCTGCCCAACGCCATCCTCGGCGGGCTCACCGGCGCGCTCACGGGCGGCATCCAGACGGTGGCGGACACGGCGGGCGTGCAGGTCCCCCCGCCCCCGGCCGCCGTGCACCCGAGCGACGTTGCGCAGAGCAGCCAGGCAGCACCCGCAGCAGCCGGCCAGAACGACGGGTGGGGCGAGGCTGCGGCCGCTGAGCCCGCCGCAGCTGCCGAGGACGAGTGGGGCAGGGCGTGAGACTAGAGGAGCCAACACCCACCGGCCGCAGAGTAACTTCCGGAGCGCTGTTGGTGAACCGCGTGGACCGTTGTAGTGTCGGATTTGTTTTGTTAATATCGCGCAACAATCTCAGAAAGCCCCCCCCTGACTGCACTCCCACCAAGTGCCACATCAGATATGCGTTTGAGGTTCGAAGATGCTAGGATTGCGAGGAGCTCACCACAAACAACCCTAACTTCTAACCACAGTGAGCGTGCTGTGCGTGGCTGTCGGGGACTCCGTGCGGCTGCGCGATGCGGTTTGCCTTGGCCTGCATACACGTTTCCGGAAACCAAAAAGGAAACGAGAGGGTCCCGAGCACTTTTCGTTTCCGGAAATTTCCAGGGAAACCAGAGGGTGTTTGGAGCTCCATTCTGGCAACTCTCGAGTTTCCCTGAGTCTGAGAGCTGGTCTGGGGCAAAATCTGAGGCGGAACCGAGGAAACCGGCAAACTACCCGGGTATTTTCCAGGTATGTATGTATCTAAGGAGACGGTTCAACTTGGCGGCCGCTTGGTGGGGGGAGCCGCTTTGGCCGTGTACGCGTGTGTCGGGGGCAGGCGATCCAAGCACTGGCGATCCGTCGCCCCATGGCGTCGGCCGAGCTGCTCGCTGGCCACGTGCTCGTGCGCGGACGAGGTTGAGAAGCAGCTGGCGGAGCAGAGCCTGGCCGTACAAAGATCAGAGGCCAAAGCGGAAGCCGAGGCCACCTGAGTCGTCGGACGGATTGACGCCCTCGACAATCCACGAGTACAAAGCTGGGCGACACAAAGGAGGATGTACAGACTCTCCGTGCTCAGGTGGCGGAGGTGCTGGAGCACGTGGCAAAGCTCAACGCCGCGAATCAGATCATCGAAGCGCTGCAGACGCAGGTGACGATGCTGCAGGCCCGTGTGGCGGAGCTCGAGCGCCGGCCTAAGCTGTCTGGGAGCGACACCTCGCGGCCAGCCACCTGCGACGAGACGGAGGCGAGGGTCGAGGCGCTCCGCGAGTTTCGGCGGAAGGGCCACGGCTGCAGCGTGGCGCGCGCGGCAGGGTACTCGTGCGTCGAGGCAAGGGCGGTGGGCTACTCGCTGCAGGAGGCAACGGGCTACTCAATCAGCGAGGCCAGGGCGGCGGGCTACTCGCTGCAGGATATTAAGGCGGCGGGCTACTCGTGCAGTAAGGCGAAGGAGGCGGGCTACTCGCTCAAGGAGACGAAGGCGGTGGGCTACTCGTGCAGCGACGCAAAGGAGGCGGGCTACTCGCTCAAAGGAGGGGGCGTGGCTGGCTATCCGTTTGAACACAACGCATGGACACTGCCACGTTACAACCAAAGTATTCCACCATCACAACCGGTGGGGATGACTTTGAAATATGCCGGCTACCACATGAGTTAATTCGCATTATTGGAGTGGTGCATAAACTTGGGTTTCGGAGAAAGGCGCGAGGGGCTTTTCAATGAGGGGCTCGGGGCCCGAGGGCGCACACGATCCCACCGGATGATCTGGCGCCGGATGCAGATTCATGGGCGCAGCCCTCGACATGCAAAGGAAGCTCGATGGTAGTACACAGGATTGAGACAACCGGCCAGGGCGGGGTTGACGGCGACGTCGAGGACCTCTGGCCTTTTAATCTTCACTTGCGCGCCTTGCGCATCTTGGCGGCGAGGAGGACCGCGACAGCCGCCACGCCCAACGGCGAGGCCAGCGCGAAGGCGGCGAAACCGGCGGAGACGGCGAGGTCGCCGACAAGGAAGGCGGCAGGGAGGAGCGGGGCGGGGAGGGCCGCCTTTAGGTGCTTCGGGTGGGCCTTGGTGACGAGCGGCTCAATGAGCGCGTCGTAGTACGCCTGTGTGTGAGGCTCCCATACTCTTTCAGACTCGGGATGAGGAGGGCAGAGGAGGTGCTAACAGGCGAGGCGAGGCGCGCCTGCGCGGTCTCCGGGAAGAGGTACGAGAGCAGATTGGAGAGCGAGAGCGGGAGCGGTACGAGGTAGGAGGAGAGCATGTACTCGGCGACCCACTCGGGGTAGGTGGAGGCGAGCACGCCGCCTTGAGTGAGGATCTTGCCCGAGGTGGTGAGCGGGTTGATCACCTCGCCCACCGAGGCGACGACGCGCGACACCTCGGACTCGCCGAGCTTGGAGCCGGCCGCGACCATGCGCGCGGGGACGAACTGCGGCAGGGAAGGGTGTGGTGGGAGGTTGTGGGAGGTGGGAGGAGGCGGGAGGGCGGTGGGAGAAGGGAGGAAGGGGGTTAGCATCAGTCGCGCCTTTCCGTCCACCTCCAGCACATGATCGGGGGTGAGGGAGAGTATGCCGTTGGCGTGCTCGAGCTCGAGGAGGGCCGACTTGAAGGTGGCCTGGCGGCAAGACGGGCTGGGTGTGAGAATTGGTTGAGGCGAGAGGGTGGCGGCGCGGGTATTTGTGGTAACGGCGAGAGGGTGGTACAGCGGGCTCGGTGGCACGGTGGCCTCGCGATGCTGGTTGACGATGACGCGGGCGACTGATGAGGGGCCGTCCATGACGAGGTCGCCTGCCTTGAGCGAGGCCATCGGCACTCGCTCCCCCGACGGGAGGAGGGCGAGGGTGTCACGGGCGAAGCAGGGGTCGTCCGAGGGGCACTCCCCCCCCTCGAGAACAGTCTCCTTGAAGTAGTCGTCGGGGTCTTGGCCCAAGAAAGCGGCCCCGAGTTGGACTTGCGCAGTCGATTTCTGTGCGCACGGGTGGTAGGGGTGAGAGATCGGGAAGGGGGCCGCGAGTAGGGGAGAGGTGCCGCGCACAAACTCATCCTCACATTTGCAAATGATTTCAAGGCCGGGGTCAGTCGCTGAGGTCGCGCCATTCTCGCAGAGGCATTCAAGCAGGTCGGCGCCAAAGAGTTCTTCCCACCCGGAGCCATCGTTGCAAAGGTCTCCGAAATTTCCGCCGCCGTCGCCGCACTTCGGCGGGCAGGTGCCGTCGATGGCGTCGTCAAAATAAGCGCACCCGGAGCACATGAAGCAGTTCATTGCGGTATCGCAGTAGTTGTCGTCGCTGCAATCCGAGTGCGATGAGCAAGCTCCAGCCCTGGGCGACACACTTGTCTCGGCCGACGCATGTTTCATCGCCACGAGGGCCCTCGCCAACTGCTGTGGGACGAGGGCGTCAGCCGACTCGGCGAGGCCAAGCACGACGAGAGCCGTGGCAAAGATCATCTTTCCCTCCTGCAGGAACACAGAGGCGTGTGGCGACGGCGACAGCGGCGGCAGCCGGCAAGCGGGCAGTGTAAGGGCGGAGATGCAAGACGATCGTGTGGGGCGGAGTTGGTGTGGAGTGGTGCTGGTGAGCGGGCGGGCGGGTGGATTTGACGAGGGCGGAGCCTTCTAGGCGATGGTGGATGGAACCCCTTTCTTAGCAAGGCCTCTTTCCGAGTCGCCGTCCCAGAAGGAAGAACTAATGAAACGCCGCGGGTCCTCAGATGGACGACGACATGCCTCCACAGGACTCGTGCATACCCGGGGTTTTCCAGGTATACCCACAAAATACCGCGGTATTTTGCCGCTTTGGCTGATTTTGGGCCCAAACCAGCTGGTATTGCTAAATCTCTCTCTCTCTCTCTGATTTCAAGAGAAGAAGAGGAGCTCTCTCTCTGATTTCCACGGAGTTTAAAAACAGCTCTCTCTCGGAGTTTCCTCGGGAAACTAAAGAGGAAACGAGAGGGTGCTGAGAGAAACACGGAAAGGAACCGAGACGGGGTGAGCGAGGAAACATGTATGCAGCCTAAGCGTTTGCCAGCAACACTGTCGAAAGTCGGATCCGTCCGGTGGAGCTGGAGGATGAGGGAGTATGTTACTTGAAGAAAACAGCCGACAGAAAAGGCAACACGCCGCAGGTCCCACACTGGCAAAATTCTTCGCGCCCCCAAATTCTTTTCGCGCACGACCAGTCCCGTGCCTAGTGTCGTGCGAGGGAGTTCGGATTAAAATTCTTTCGCGGGAGGTTGTAAAATTCTTTTCGCGCCAGTCCCGTGCCCAGTGTTGTGCGAGGGAGTTGACAGTTGAGTTGTAAAATCTTTTCGCGCCAGAGAGCGCGCCGAGAGGGGTACATCCGATAGCCTGCCGCCGCGGTGCGACATGGCCGACCCGCTCGCCGTCTACGGCCGACTCTGGGCCCTCTCCAACCTCGCGCTGCACGTCACCTTTCACGGCGGCTCCCTGGCCGGGCTCTTGCAGTCGGGCTGGGCGCAGCGGGCCTTTACCGTCCTTGCAGCAGCCTCTGCTGTCGCGCCAAGCAACGGACGCCTCCTCGTCGCCGCTCACGCCGCCTCCATCTGGCAGTTCTCGCAGATGCTTCCCGCCGTCTTCGACGCTGACTGCTGGGCGGTGCACCACGACGCAGCCTTCCTCTTGTCCGCGGCAGCCGTGGCGGTCGGCAGCCCGAGGCTCCTGCTGCAGGCGTGGACAGGAGAGGAGCGCGCGGCGGTGTTTGCGGGCCTGTCCCAGTGCCTGCGCGTCCAGGCGGCGCTGTGGTACGGAGGTGCCTTCTTCTGGAAGCTCAACCGCGCCTTCTTTGAGCCGTCCAACTGCCCGGCCCTCTTCTTCCTGCAGCTCGTCGACTACTGGCTGCCCGTGCCGCTGCCCGATTCCGCGCTTAGCTTCATTGCGAGGTCGGCCCCGCACGTCACCGAGGCGGTCGAGGGCGGGCTCGCCGCAATGATCTGGCTCCCCGGCTTCGAGCGCGCGGCCGTCGTGCTCGGCGGCCTGAGAGAAGCCCCACACCGGGACCACCGCCACCTTTGTGACGCCTTCCCTCTGTCTAGGCGTCCTCCTGCACTGGCTCATCGGCATCACTCCGCCCCCACACAACATCGCCTCGTACGGCACGCGCTGCGTCAGCCGCTACGTCGCGCTGCTCCCGCACGAGTCCGTCGCCGTGCACGCGCGTCTTGCCAGCCTGCTGCGCGGCAGCGCGTCCACCTCCACCGCCGCAGCCGCCGCCGCCGCCGCCGCAGTTTTCGCGGCGCACGTCCACGTCGCCTACCTCTTCGGCAATGGCTCGGACCACAACTTTGGCTCGGACCACAACTTTGGCGGCGCGACGAGCGCCCTCGCCAAGCTTGCGCCGGAGGCGTCGGGCGGCGCCGACTGGCACTTGCCGCATCTCGCCGCGCTCTCCCTCTTCTTCAGCGCCGCCGCCGCCCTGCCCGGCATGATCGCCCCTCCGCCGCCTCGCGCCGCCGCCCCTGCCGCGGCGCCGTGGCTACGCCGGCTGGTCCTCGCCGAGGGCTTTCTCTTCGTGTTTGGGCTCCCCCTCCTCGGGCTCGCCGACGACTTCCCGCCCAAGCCCTTCTCCAACCTGCGCGTGCACGGGGGCAGCAACCACCTCGTGGTGCCGACCGACCTGCTAGGCCGCCTACTGCCGACCGTCCCGTCGGACGTCGTCCTCGTCGAGCGGTGCAGCTCGGCGTGGATCAACGCCCTCCTACCTTGCGAGCTCACCCACCACCTTACGCCCAGCGCGCGCGAGCTCCTCCGGCGCGTGGGCCATTCGGGGCGTGTGATTGGGCCTGCCTTCGGACGAAACGTCAGCCCGCTGTTGACCATGCGCAACGGCGAGGGAGGCCCTTTTCTGAGGTACACGCTGCCAACCTTCGAGCTGCGCCGCGTGCTCGCCGAGGCGCGCGCGCGCGGAGAGGCGTTCCGCATCGACTACCGCCGCCTGCCCCGGGGCTACAGCGCGGACGCGGCGGGGCGGCAGGCCCTCGTCGCCACGCTGCCGCTCACGACGCTCGTCGAGCGAGGCGGAACCTCCCCTCCCAGCTGCACCGTGCGGCGCGGCAACTGGTTCTCGGCCCGGTGCACGCCCGACGAGCCGGCGCTGCAGCCGCCACCACAGGCGTGGGCGCAGAGGCTGCTCATGTTTTGGCCGAATGTGTGGCTGGACGAGCAGACGGACGCGCACAGCGGCTACTGCTTTTACGAGTAGAAAAAGGCACAATATGAGGCGCGTACACGCGAGAGGAAAATACTGTGATTCACCACAGACCACACATCCTCGAGTCTGCCCCAGGAATCCTGCGTGTGGTGGTGTGTGCGTGCACAGTGTGTCTCGATGTTCATCCCAGGCTAATCCTGCGCGCGCCATGAGTTGGTGGCATCATTTTTGTGGCACGAGTCGATGTCATCGCCGTTGCCCCCGCCGCTTCTCGCCTGGTTCCGCAGGCACCGCGTCAGCTGGGCCGGCCTGCGCTTCGAAGTCGCCGAGGGCCGCGGCGTCTACGGCGTGGCTGAGGTCGATCTCAACCCGGGCAGCGTGGTCGTCGCCGTGCCAAAGGCGGCGATGCTGACCAGGAAGAATGTGCGTGACGCCAATGCGCTGCACGCGCTGCTCGCGCTCGGGCTGCCGTCCGTCGAGGTCCTCGGCCTCGCCATCGCCCTCGAGCGCGCTGCAGGCAAGAGCAGCAAGTGGCACGCGTACCTGCAGAGCCTGCCGCTGCATGAGCCGCTGCCGCTGCTCTGGTCGGCGGCTGAGCTGCGGATGCTCGCCGGCACTGGGCTGGACGAGACGAGCCAGCGGCGCAAGCGGCGTCTCCTCGAGAACTACCGCAGCGCCGTGGAGGAGTGGGAGGGCGCGGCGCCGCTGCCCTCTTCCGAAGAGTACCTGCGAGCGTGCACGCTGTCGTCGTCGCGCGCCTTTCTCGTCGATGGGGAGCACGGCGAGGGCCTCGTGCCGCTGGCCGACCTACTCAACCACAAGGCGGCTCTCGCCGAAGAGCAGGGCGACGAGGGCGACGAGGGCGACGAGGGCGACGAGGGCGACGAGGGCGACGAGGGCGCAGAGCTGCGGTGCGACTGCACGCTGCGCATTCCGCCCGCCGAGGGCGAGGAGGAGGAGGAGGGCGAGGGCGAGGAGGAGGAGGAGGGCGAGGGCGAGGAGGAGGAGGAGGGCGAGGGCGAGGAGGAGGAGGAGGGCGAGGGCGAGGGCGAGGGCGAGGGCGAGGGCGAGGGCGAGGGCGAGGGCGAGGGCGAGGAGGCGGCGCTGGTGGGCACGGCGCGGCCGCTGCGCGCGGGCGAGGAGGTGTGCCACACTTACGGACCGCTGGGCAACTGGGAGCTGCTTGCGGGCTACGGCTTTGCGCTGCAGGCGGTTCTTAGACCGTTCCAAGACCATTCCGAGACACCACCTCCTCCCTCGGCCTCGCCGCCTCGCGTCTTCCCGCTGCGGGCGGGCGGGCGGGGGGGGGGGGGGGGGGGCCATAACTTCGGAGGCCTTTTTTGGCCTCACCGCCCTTCACCGCCCCGCCACCGCCCCGCCACCGCTTTTTTAGGAAAACCCCTTCAAAACGGCCTTTTTTCCGGGGGGGGCCCTCTTCGGCCCGGCCAAAGGGGCCCTGGGTGCCCAAACCCCGCGGGGAAAGTTTTCCAAATTGCCCCGGGGGGGTTGCTGGCACCCCCTGCTCGGTTCCCCCTTTGTCTTCAACCCCAAGGGGGTGCCACCGGGGAAACTTGGGTTTTTGTTGGGGTTCCTTTGGGGGAACCCCCTCCCGCCGGGGGC